ATCATTGAGTCTTCGACATTGCAAACACGACCTATTGGTCAATTTAAATCAACATTGACGTGGTTATCTTGCCGTGAAAATATGTTCTTCTGGTATCCAATATTTAAGACAATGAAAATTTTAAACTTGGTATACGAATCGCGTTCCAGAATGCTTTTGGACGCTATTTGTAATGAAGTGACTGGATGAACGAGGCTAAACATATCCCAAAAGGGAAGACTACCGGAATATTTCGCCGGACATAACTGATTAGAAATTACAGTAAAAACAGAAACGATTGAATGGAATTCAGTTTATATAATTCATATTACATTATTATATGCGCTGCTACCCATTTGTTTCCATTTCTAGGTGCCAAAGAATAACGATTTAGCTCCTTTAAATGGAACATTTATATTTCATGTTTAGGCATAACTAACATCATTATCATTTTCATCCGAAAAATTCACTTTTTAAAGATACATTAGTTAAGAGTTGGTATAATAATTCAAAATTAGATGATAAAAAAAGAAAATGTTGAAAATTTCATTCAAATTACTTAGTTCTGAACAGAATTGTCACTGTTGGAAATTTGGACTAGAAATAGGCATACCCAAGTAACATGCTGAATGGCTATGGTAGCCTCGCTTGGCAGGCCTTTCATCACCAGTTTCCGGTAGGGACATCAGCGACTAACGGTAAACGTTAGTTTGGTCCGTCATTTATTGCTTTAATTATAACTGTTTAAATCCAAACTGTATCCAAGCCATCCGTGGGTCTACAGTGTTGTGTTTGAGCTTGTCGTGTAAATAACAGTCTAATTAATAATTTCGATAACATCTGAAGTCTAAATAAAGACTTGCAATAGGTAGATTTATCTCTTGCAAATTCTAACTGGAATATTTAAGAAATGGGCCATATACATTATCATGATAAATGCGGAAATAGCCAATTTACTCCATGTAAGAAATTACCTGTATTGGAGTACCGATAAGCATAATATCATACTCATTACTGGGTTAAGAGTCAGAATTATGGCTTCATATTGCTTTTTGTAACCGTTGTTGTTAGAGCATGGACCATCATTTGTAACCACAAATATAAGAGCATAGAGCATATTTTGTAACCTTTGTTTAGGGCCATAAGGCACATTGTGTAACCACTGTTTTAGGGGCATATTTTATAGCCATTGTTTTAGGAGGATGGAGCATATTTGTATTGTTTTAGGAACATTGGGTATATTTTGTAACCACTGTTTTAGGATTATGGAGCATTGAATAAGCGTCCAGTTCTCGCTCTAAATTACCTATTAATATTTATATTATGTATTATCGAGTATCTTTAGATAAAGAATCCGAAAAAAAAGACTATTATTAATATAAGCAAACTTTTGATGAAAAATCCCCCCCCCCCTCGCCATTGTTATATATATTTTTATGGCTGTGAAATTCCCCACCCTTTGTTTGGTGACGACATGATACGTTTATCGGAAATGTAAGACATTAAAGCTGTTTTATTTCAGTTCATTTCCGATTCTGGCACCCCAAAACTGTTGAAACGAGTATATGTTATATTTAGGGGTGGTGTGTATATCCGACAATTCTACGTTCAGAACTGCAATGTCGGAGTTCGGGGATAAAAACTGGAGGAGTCGAGTTCAGTTTACGAAATAAAATTTGCAGTGCCCATAGATTACCTACGAATTATGTCTTACAGCAACAACTCGACCATGCCTATAATAGTTGCTGTCCATCATGAGGATGTAAATAGAGAATCTCCTACCAGTCTTTTTTGATATCAAAAAAGACGAGTAGGAGATTTTATTTATCACCCAATCCCTTCTTACATGCACGCATAGATAAATATAATTCTTTGCGGTAGATTTCACTTTTACTGAACATTATGGCGTAGTGATACATCATTTTCTGACAGCAATTCAACCATTGCAAAGTCCTTTATATTGACCCAGAGATTCCATCAAGGTCAATTGAATAACAATAGTTCATTTTTAATAAAAAAAAAAGTTACTTTTAATAAGAAATGAACTGTTCTTTGAAAATAAAAAAAGTAGTTCCTTTTCAACTGACCAAGCAAATTCATGTAAAGCGATATCTCCTAAGTAGATATCGCAGTAGATTATGAAATATATCACACAAGCGATATCTACTGTAGAATGTATTATCGGGTGATAAAGTGTAATAATAATACATGTTCATATAAGCCATAAACTCAATTCAATTCCAAGAAAGTAATCAGCGATTTCTACTCTCCTTGGTGTGTTTCTGGAGATTTCGTAGACTGTATTCTATAATCTATAAGTTTGTCTTCTGGAGGCTTTACATTCACTTCCACACAGGGTATGTCATCTTGCAGGGAATGTCAGTCGTAAACGAGAGGCTAGTCTAGCATTAGGTGGAAAAGGAAGAGCTAGTAGGAAATTTTATCGCCTCCAGGTTTCAGTCGCAATGGTTATACCCTTGGGATACAGTGTCCAATGGTGCTGATAAGGACCATTCATACTCCATTCTGAAGGCGTTGCTTCCAGGTACCAGTAAATAAACCAAAGCCTAATCAGGACCGCTGGGGTGATTGTATGCAGTTGATGTCCCGTCCGCGTTGCCACCCTAGCTCAGATCTAGAAAGGGCCGATTCATATTTCCGTTGTGTTCTGGCTAGCAGTAGGACGTAAACGCCTGTCAGTTTGTACTTCCGGACACCCGTGGAAATCAGATCGATCGACTCCGAATCCAATTTTATCTTTCAGATGTGCCGTACCGTCTTTATCTAATGATACGTATGCTGTACAAGGATCATGGCATGAAGACTTGATTAACCGGTCTATACCCAGTAGTAAAGATGGCTGGTCTAAATGTACTATTTATCATTACACTGAAGATGGTAATAAAACAGAAGTTAGATGTAATAAATGGGTTTATGATAAATCACAGTATGATAATACATTTATGTCGCAGGTGGGTATAATTCTGAATACATTTTATTTGTGTCATTATTTAGGTGGGTATAATTCTTAATATTTTTTGTACCATTATTTCATGAATAAAATCCCATTAAATCACTATAAAATAAGAATAAATCAGGATTAGAGTTAAAGAGAAAAATCAATGAGTGTATATGAAATAATATGGGTTTCCATGGTCTACTTTTCTGCGCTTATATAATTGGTCTAATGAGAATAGTAAGGGAAATGTTGTCCGGACGTGTACAGCGTCCCAATCTGTTCTTCACCGAATTTAAACTTTTACGTGCACAGATTTCGTTTTTGTCCAATACGAACAACTAGACACGTTTCCTTGCCAAGTCCGCCGCCCTGCACCAGAGAAACTCAACCATGGACGTTCTCAGCCAACACCGTGATTTCCTGTTGAATGGCCCTCCTAATGAGATTAAAGGATAATATTGGTGTCAAATATGACTTTAACACAGAGTTGTATGCTACGATAGATGCGTAATGAAGATTTCAAGAAAGGGAAGTAACGAAAGCAAAAGTAAAACACAAGTTATCCTTCTATATACGGAGTGATAACTGATACACGGGCGAATTTCTGCTAACTAATAATTCCTTCGAAGACCAAAAGTTGTTATGTGGGACTGAGAGCATATTTAACAATTCTAAAAAGTAATTGAATGTCACTAGATAAGAGAAAACGAGAAAAGAAATAGTCCGTACATTCCCTTGTTTTTATTCATTCTATACTTATACATACATTATGCAAGATCTAAATCTGCCAGGTATTTCTTTAGGCCTGAAATGTTATCTAAATTATTAATTAGACATTAATTAACTTATCCAGACCACAATCAACTCTCGATCTGCTGCTCAACGCTCACTAATGATTAAATTTAAAACCGGATAATCGAGTGGATCACTTTGACTGAAATTTCAGCAAATTCCCATTACATTATCTAGTTTTTAACAATTATAACTATTTTAGCAAATGTCCCATAATGTATCTTTAATAAAAACACGATACACGGGCAAACAGATGAAATGCGCATGTCCTGTATCTATAATGAAGTATTTTACTATATATCATGAGATATCGAATGCTATCACGTCGTGCCCTCATCAAAGTCGCAATTTTATTCATAGTCAAAGTGTTTTCGATATAAAGTTTTAATATAAAAAAAATGTTTATGAATAAATATATTTGATTTCGAGTAACACTGATGTATTTATCAATATTTCAGCTAAATCTAGTTTGTGGTAAAGAAATCTACAGATCGCATAGTAATCTCGCTATGTTTGGGGGGAAAGTTGTCGGCGCCATCTTACTTGGTATGATTTCAGATGTGTAAGTAAATTTGAGAATTTTTAGGAATAGATTCTAGGTATTTTTTTAGTAATAGATTTGAGTAATTTTTGTTTTATAATAACATTATCAACATAATCTGAAGTAACTTTCTACGACAAAATGGTCTTGGCTTGTACTTTAGATCATAAGGTCTGTCATTGAGTATTGAACTGGTTATGATTCCCAGCTTGTACGTGACAAGGAGTTTGGGTCACCTGTCCAACATCGTGGGTTTTCTCCGGGTCAACCGTTTTCCGCCCACTGCTAAAGAATCCTACAAGCCAGCGAATTATTGAAATGAAATTGAACCATATGTTAGATCCGAAATTACCTAGCATGTGTCGACCATTTCTTTTTCTCTGTAACAACAAAGTACAAATACCTTCCATTTTTAAAAAAGGAGACAATTTGAATCCTCTAGTATGTAAAGTCGAAATTGGATATTGTGATTTACTTTGCTCTGTCTTAATTTGATTTGATTTAGCCATTGGATAATTGTTACAATTAGATAATTTTGAAGGTTTTGGTCGTTTTTGCGACGAAATGAAATTCTTGACGTCAGATCTTTTGTGAATGTAGGTATATAACCTGTTTTATTTTTGAAAATGGGATAGCTCGTCGAATCCATAATAATTAATCGTATCATTGTTTACAGACTTGGAAGAAAGAAGACCCTTATGATTTGCCTTTTCATTAAAATATGTTCGGGGATAGGACTAGCTTTTGCTACGAATCTAGTTAGTTTCCTTGTTTGTAGATTTCTGGTTGGTTTCAGCAGTATTACCTGCTTTATCACAGCTTATGTTATTGGTAAATATCTTTATAATTCCGCGTTTTATCACGGCTTATGTTATTGGTAAATATCTTTATAATTCCGCGTTTTATCACAGCTTATGTTATTGGTAAATATATTTATAATTTGGCGTTTTATCACAACTTTGTTATTGGTAATTCCGCGTTTTATCACATCTTATTTATTATTGGTAAATGTCGTTTTCCTTACTAATTTAAGTTTTGTTGATTAGAAGAACATTTATGCACATTTTTGGCATAGATTGGTAAGATTATATAGGAATTGATAAAAATTACCTTAGCTGTAGATAGTAAGCATAAATTGTAATAGATAGTAAGCAAATTGAGAATTTAGGTTGCTTGAACTTAAGATTGCAATTGAGACGATGACTGTGGGGTTTGGATGAACGGTTGGCCCCAACGGGAGGAAATTGCTCCCCCTAGCTCGAAAAGCCAGTTACGCCCCCCCCCACCCACACACACACTTTTCAATGTCACTCTGGATTTATTTCAAACGTTTACATAAGTACCTTGTGCTATTTTGTAGGTATGGAATTGGTGGGACCATCGAAGAGGAAGTATGCTGGTAATATAATCATGTTAGCCTGGGTAATCGGGTTGTTTCTTCTCGGTTTACTTGCATACTTCATAAGAGACTGGAAGAATCTAACGATTGCTACCTCCGTGCCAAGCATTTTCTTTTTATCTTATTGGTGGTAAGTTTCCTCAAACTGTACTCATGCTAGGAAATAAAAATACTGATTAGCAGTTCGGTTAATGAATTTCACTCGACCGTGCGCTGTCCTGCGTTCAATTTCAGAGATGTACAACCATGGATCAGTTAAATGTGCTCGAATACCTACGCAAGTACACAACAACGGAATCCGAAATCCATTGACAAGTCCCATAGCGTTCTAGATACACCAAATAGGGAGATCTTTCTAAAGATATCTGTTACCTGGATTTGAAATATTAATCCACAATCTTAAGCACCTTCCTAAAAGTGTTATTGGTAAATGCTTTGATTTGAAATATTAATCCACAGTATAGTTTGTAAGGGGCAAAAACGTGGGTCAGCGAAAGTCGCAGTATAGTTATTAATTTAATTATCTAATCATATCGTGTCTTTGCATGGAAGGGGGTTGGATGGCTGAACGGTTAGCACGTGCGCGCTGTATCATACGGTCTGTCATTGAGTCAATTGGCGTGGTTTCGATTCCCCGGTTGTACGTGACAAGGAGTAGGGTCGCTTGTCCAAATTCGTGGGTTTTCTCCGGGTCCTCCGGGTTCTCAGGTTTCCTCCCACTGCTAAAGACCCCTACGCGCCAGCCCACTGCTAAAAACACCTAAGGGCCAGCGAATTATTAAATTAAATTGAACCATGTGTTAGCCCCGAAATGACCAAGTTTGTGTCGGGTGGACGTTACCCCCACCCCCCTCTCTCTCTCTCTCTCTCTCTCTCTTTGCATGGAGTTAAAACAAACTATATTATTAAATGTTACAAATGGACGGTTCGCAAATACAACGTTTGACAATTCTAATTCTTAGTTTAATAAACAACCAAATTAACGTTTGTTTACAGTAATCGACGTTATAGAAAGATAATCAATTGACATTGCTCTAGAATATTGCAAGCACCCGAGCTTAAACTGTTAGAATTTCTAAAGGAATATGCGTATTTAACAACAGCCTATTCTAGCTTGCGTGGGCATACTACCGCTTTAAGTGTATATTTGTAAATATTTTCAGGTTGTTACCAGAATCTCCCAGATGGTTATTGTCTAAAGGTAGATATAAAGAAGCCGAGGAAATTATCCGTAAAGCAGCCAAGGTCAATCAGGTTGACCTCCCGGAAAATCTTTTTGATAAATCATCTCTTGAAACAACTGCTAATGCTAATATAAGTCAGATGTTTACAACTCCACGACTTGTAGCGATGTCTCTTATTGTCTTCTTTAATTGGTAAGATTGTGTAGTGTACCGTTTTACGTGGTCGAACTCAAAATCCAAAAACAAACCCCACTCCTGGCCGGTCATCCATTAGCTAAGCCTGTTTCTTTAATCACTGCTCATATACTAATAATTCCTAGTAGCCCAAAATTACTTTTTTATTTGCATCATTGAAACTGTAATTATCCGATAAAGTATGTCGTCACCCTTGTCCGTCCGTCCACAATTGTTTGTGAACACTCTACGGGTAACAATTTTTATCCGATTTCAATGAAACATTAAATATAGGTTTATCACCTCAAGATCTCGGTTCCTTTCGATATTGGCATGTATCGAACTGTACGAAAAATCACGTTTTTAGCTTGCGAACACTGTAGAGGTCACAATTTTTATCCAATTTGGTTTAAACTTGAAATGTATGTTTATAAAACACATATCTTGGTTCCTTTCGATATTCGCGCATATCGGACTATAACTTCCTGAATTATGGCTCATGATTGTACGAAAAATTGCGTTTTTAACATGTGGACCCTATAGAGGTCACAATTTGTATCCAATTTAAAAAAAAACAACCTTGGAATATATCACCGTTACACCCTAAGATTGGTTGAGTTCGAATTTCGTAAAAATCGGATCAAAACTGACGGACAAAATGACCGCCCCTCGTTCGCAAATAGTGTCAAAACATTGTGTTTCAGGGTTGTGGACCCTCTGGAGGTCACAATTTTCATCTGATTTTCATGAAACTTGAAATGCATCATTATAACCCAAATATCTTGGTTTTTTTCGATTTTCGTAAATATCGAATCGTAACTTCCTGAATTATGGCCCCTGATTGTTCGAAAAATCGCGTTTTTAGCTGGTGGCCATTCTTGAGGTCACAATTATTATCCGATTAAAAAAACGTTCGAATATATCACCGTTACACCGTAATTGGCCGCCCCTCCTACGGAAATAGTGTAAACATATGGTTTATCAAAGTTGTTGACCCTCTAGAGGCCACAATTTTGATCCGATTTTGATGAAACTTGAAATGCAACTTTATAACCCTAAGATCTCGAATCCTGTCAATATTCGCGCATATCGGATCGTAACTTCCTGATTGAACAAAAAATCACGTAGAGGTCACAATTTTTATCCGATTTAAAACAAAACGTGTGAATATATCAACATTACACACTAAGATCATGGTTCCTTTTGATAATCGCGGATACCCGATTCTTCGAAAATTCACATTTTTAGCTTGCGGATTCTCTAGAGGTCACACTTTTTTTTCCGAATTTAAAAACCGTTTAAATACATCACCATTCAACCATAATGAAGGTTGAATTGGAATTTTGGGAAAATCGAAACTGCCCAACAAAATGGCCGCTCTTTGTACGCAAATTGTGTAAAAGTATGTAATATGAAGGTTGTGGATCATCTAAAGGTTACAATTTTTATCCGATTTTGATGAAACTTAAAACATATCTTTATATCCCAAAGATCCCAATCCCTATGATATTTGCACATTTCAGACCATAACTTTCTGGATTATTGCCCCTGACTGTGCAAAAAACGTTTTTGTTTTAAGCTTGTTCTCTATCCTGCTCTGCAGCCGCTGGTTATTTTTAGTTGTAGTCATGTAAGAAGTCTTGCATAATTAAAACTGCAATTATCCAATACAGTATTTATTTTAATTTTTGTTGTAGGTTTGTAGCAAGTGTGACATATTATGGCTTAACTTTAAATGTGGCTAATCTAAGTGGAGATGTCTATCTGAACTTTACCATTGGAAACATAGCGGAGACCGTCGCCTATGTTTTATGTATTATATTACTAGACAGATTAGGAAGAAAAGTTCTACATTGTTCTGTTATGTTAATAGGTGGTTTAGCTTGTCTCAGTACCATGTTTCCAGTTATATACGGAGATGATTGTAAGTATAAACAAATTCAATGTGTAGCTAATTTTTCACCGAGGTCACCTATTCCTTGGTTGGGCTATTTAACAGATATTTTAGAATGTCGAATGAGTTTAGTTTCTAAAATCGTCAGTGACTGACTATTTACGGAGATGTCCGAAAGTATGAGCAGATCTATCGTTTTTAAATTGACAGTAAGCCGTGTTCAAAGCCCAGCTTAGGCATGGGCCTATGGGGCCGAGGCCCATGGCCCCGCGGTTTAGAGGGGCCCGCGGGTCATGGCAAAAAGAGAAAAATTCAAATTCCAGATAAAGGTTTCACAGTAATCGATCTAGCGGCTCGAGGGCGGAGACTGAGCTATCCCTCAACCTTCTCTGTGAAGTTTAACTCGGTGATTGTTATTGTTCTTAGTGTTTAACGTCCGTTTAAACCGAAGGTGATATCGCAGACAAGTTGTCTTATTTTCATTTTTATTATCTTAGCGCACGCGTAGTCGTTTTCCTGTGGGAGGAAACCGGAGTACCCCGTGTAAACCCACGAGGTTGGGAGGAAACCGAGTAACCCGAGTAAACCCACGAGGTTTAGAAGGCACCCCCTATATACAAGCCACATACGCTTACACCAGGGATCGAAACCACAACCGCAAGACAGAGTTGACCGGCTAGCTAGAGGTCGAAGCGCGACACTCTAGACCACTAGGCCACCCCCTTTCCTTACATAACAATGTCTTGAAGATTAAATGAAATGAAATGGGGTTTACCATCCTACTGTTCTGTTCCGACTGGGATAATGAAGACGAGCATACGCCATAAATTGTATCGAATTCAACTGCCACGGGATTTTTTACAGATACTATCCAGCGCGTGCATTTCAATGAAATACGTCACGCGGGTCCTATATTTCAACTGGTATAAATAATGTGCACTTGGCATGTTGCCTGTACCATTATTTGAAATAATGGTACGCCAACATCAAAAGATGACGTCACACCTGTATTTTAACTAGACATATCAATGACCTTGAGATACCTAGTTATTTAGTTCAAAGAAATTAAATTTGCCGGGTAGGTTTGTTTTGCAAACTGGGTATCTGTATGAAATCAAACAAATAAAAATTGTAAGATGTAACTGATCAACTCTGATCAACTGTGATCAATTGAAGCCAATCTAAAATTAAAATCAGCAATGCAAATCATTCGAAACAAAAATTTAATCCTTCAATGACTAATCTAAATATAGCCTGTAGTCACAACAAATGTGTGGTATTTCCCTTTGACATTTTACCTATGCACATTACAGATGACGCTCGAGTGCATGGGCACAGGACCAAGCTAATTCGGACAATTCTTACACAATCAAAGACGTTTGTATCTACTATTCACTGAGTTACCGGCCCTTGCCGTAAGAGACAAGTATCCCAACTGTTTCTTTGTCTGAAACACTTGAGTAGTCAAGTCAAGTTCGCGCACAAGTTCACGATCTGTTGAAATGTCGCAAACAGCGTGGAACGGGAAAGTAAACCCTTTGCAAATAAATTTCTGAAGGCGTTAAGAGGAAATGGTTCACCCCGAAGATATTGACCAATATTGTACCTGATGTAAATACCGAAACTTTTAATGCAATACATGTAGATCGAAAAAGGTTGACATAAACTTTGATAATGAACGGGCCAGAGAAAATCTTGGATGCTAGAATGGAGGATTATCTGGCATTAGTTCTCGGCTATTAAAGTGTTCGACATGAAAGTATCTTAATCTGAATCTAGAAGGTATAGTAATAGCATAATAATATTATATGTATATCAGTATTTGAAGAAAAACGTTGATATGGGTCACGCACGTGCATGCGTCACGCGTCACTTGTGTTTAGCTGTGGCCGATTGAGTAGGATGTATTAAATATCTGTCTTTATTAATAATTTTGGGTGAGCCTGTTCGGCTTTGTTGTTCCGCAATATACCAAAGATTGTCTTATTTATTTCTACTGTGTAGACAAAGTAATGAATGTTTTCTTCAATAATTTGGGCGAGTCGTGCTCTACCTTGTTGTTTCGCGATCTAACATGGAGCACAAAATAAGGATGTCTTAATTTATTTCAGCTGTGTCTGCAAGTAGTAAAGCAAATGTTTTCTTTAATAATTTAGGGTGAAACTGTTCAGCCTTGTTGTTCCGCAGTCTAACATGGGACATACAATAAGTTTGTTTTAATTTATTTCTACTGTGTCAGAAAGAAGTAAACTGAATGTTTTTCTTTAATAATTTTAGGAGAGACTGTTCAGCCTTGTTGTTCCTTAATCTAACATGGAACATACGCTACGGTTGACCTCTTTTTTTAGTATATAAAAGGGCTTTACCTGTGTGCAGGCAAGTAGTAAAGCTAATGTTTTCTTTAATAATTTGGGGTGAACCTGTTCAGCCTTGTTGTTTCGCAATCTAACATGGGACAGAGACTAAGGTTGTTTTAATTTAATTTAGAGTGAAACTGTTCAGCCTTGTTGTTCCGCAATCTAACATGGGACATACACTGAGGTTGTTTTAATTTATTTATTCTGTGTCGGCAAGTAGTAAAGTGAATGTTTTTCTTTAATAACTTTGAGTGAGACTGTTCAGCCTTATTATTCCACAACCTAACATGGAACATACACTAAGAGGGCTTATCTCTGCGCAAACAAAGTTAAGGGGGCTTACCTTTGTGGAAGCAAATTAAGGGAACTTACCTGTGTGGAAGCAAATTAAGGGGGCTTACCTGTGTGGAAGCAAATTAAAGGGGGCTTACCTGTGTGAAAGTTTAGATGGCTTGAGTGGAAGCAATTTAAGGGGAGCATAGTTTAGATGGCTGACCTGTGTGGAAGCAAATTAAATGGGGCTTACCTGTGTGGAAGCGAATTAAGAGGCTTACCTGTGTGGAAGCATAGTTTAGATGGCTTCCCTGTCACGTTGAAGCAAAGTAAGTGAGCTTACCTGTGTGGAAGTATAGTTTAGTTGGCTACCTGTGTGGAAGCAAAAGGAGGCTTACCTGTGTGGAAGCAAAAGGAGACTTACCTGTGTGGAAGCAAAATGAGGCTTACCTGTTTGGAAGCAGATTAAGAGGCTTACCTGTGTGGAAGCATAGATTAGTTGGCTTACTTGTGTGGAAGGGGGCTTACCTGTGTGGAAGCATAGTTTTTAAGGGGGCTTACCTGTGTGAAATCAAAGAAAGGTTGCAAAGCAATTTGGGATTTGGGTAGTCATCTATAATAGCCATTATGACCTTTTTAATCTGGGGCATTAAAATTTAGCTAGAATCATAGTGGTTAAATTATCGGGACTGAAACCACGAAGATATTCAAAAATGGGAACAGAATGTATAAAAGTTGAAAGCCTTATGTACGGAATAATTGACCGAGATTACCAAAAATGGGTTAAACGGGAAAAATGTGGTGGGATGAAGTGTGTTATGGGGCGAAGTGTGTTGTGGGGCGAAGTGAGTTGAGATAGTATTGGATGTTAATAAAGTTCATATTGTTGTCGTTGTCATTGTCTTAGTTTTGATTCTCGTAAAATGATTCAGGAGCAGAAGCACTGTGCCTGCAATACTTAAATCTATAGGCAAGACGGTAATTCAGTGGAAAGTATACTATTCACTGAGTTACCGGCCCTTGCCGTAAGAGACAAGTGTCCCAACTGTTACTTTGTCTGAAACACTGGGGGACAGTATATGTGAAGGGCACGAGTAGTCATATGAGGTCGTCCGCATGCTTTTTAGTAGAATACAGTGGGTTAAGCCGTGTTTAAGAAATATAACCCCTCCTTCCAGGCAGCCTACATGGTAGGGTGACCCGTGCAGTCTACAGAAAGTTGGTCTCGACACGGCTAAATGTGCACGCTTCAGTTGCGTGTCTCGAACTGATTTCTGACTACCCCGCACTCTCTTTGAGTCGATAAATAGCCATGGCACGTGCAATTCTCTACAAATATATCAACTATTACAGCCGTAACAAATCTATTGTTGACGATTTTGAATAGCAGTAAAATTTAGTTTCTTGGTTATTACAGCAGCTTTAGAAATTACGTTTGTTTTATTTTTTAAATTGCTTTATCATTAACTGTACCGTTAAGAGCGGCATCTTTTGGTTTAGTACAAATAATATCTCTGAAACACTCGGGTTAGACAGGAACATGATACTAGCAGTAGTTTCATTTTACTTTTACAAGTTTCTTAAAACAATTGTTGAGTTGTCTAAAGTGCTTATTTCTAAATTCAATTTCTTGTTCTACCTTTCTGTTATGTTTCGTAAAAAAGTAGTCTTGATTATCCCGACCTGTCAATCAGACGTAGAATGGTCGATAGACTGGTTAAGCGAGACTAATTTCAAAACAAGGGCGCGTAACCTATCTTTTACTCAAAAGTGTCTGGATGTTATGGACGACACTTGGAACCAGTTTTCAGTCTATTATTTATAGATGATTAATGGTCATAGCTTATTTAATACAACATGGTCGTTTATTTAGTGACTATAATTGTGTGAAACTGATTTGAGGCTTGGCATATATATAAATATTCTGGCGTAATTGTGGAGATATTTGGAGATATTTATTTATGGTGGGTCACCCTATACATGGTAGTTAGTAAGATAATGCCAAATAGGGATCGGGCTCTGTCATTTGTCAGTAGTGTACCCCTCATAAGTAAGGTATTAAAAAAAAAAAAATAATAGGGAGTTGCGTTTTGCCTATAGGACTCCTCACAGTAGAAGCACTGTGCCTGCAATACTTAAATCTATAGGCAAGACGGTAATTCAGTGGAAAGTATACTATTTACATATCATTTTCTTCAGCTCATCTTTGGATAACGACAGTTTTATCAACAATGGGGAAGCTAGCAATATCTGCTGCCTTTGCTAGTATCTACATTTTTACAGCCGAGCTATTTCCAACTACTCTAAGAAACACAGCTTTAGGCAGCAGTTCAACCTGTTCACAATTCGGCGGAATGATATCTCCTTATGTAGCAGATTTGGTAAGTCATGAATAGCGAAATAAAATGGGAATTAACGTCCAACAGTTCTGCTCTGACTGGACTAATAGAGACCGCTACCGATATGAGGGGCATTCTGTCTGGACTGCGGCGTTACGGCCTACTCTTATATCGAATTCCAACTGCCAAGGAAACTTTCACGTGCACACCAATGTGCATATGGCTGTTCCTTGTCAGGCCCTCTGTCCTGCATCACTGACAACGGGGAACCACGCCGGAAACGCGATGAGCTTTTAAGTCATGAAGATTACGAGAGCTGTATATTATCCCTATATTAGATTATCTCGCGCAGAAAGAATGGAACGCGGGATATTGAAATGTGCTCCATCCGTCCTTCTGATGATATATGATTGTTGTGCCGAACACAATGCCGAATGAAATTGGTTGGGCGCTCACGACTTGATCATAGCCTTATCCCGGGGGCCAGGATCGCCCATAATGACATGATTGGTGGGACGCCTTATAATGACAATATATGATTGTCGGGCCGCACATAATGCTTCATGCAAAGTGAAATTGGTTGGGCGCCCACGGCGCCCAAAACGGCATAATTGGTGGGGTGCCTCATCCTGGAGGTACGCTCATAATGTGGAGATTAGTGGGCCGCCCACGACGAAATCTACCATAGGACAGGCAACTTTTCGTTTTTCTCATAAATTATTATAAGTACGCTAAAGTCGCTTTCCTTCCTTCAAATGTTAATATCAAGATATCATAAAACGCCATTGTCTTGAATTCAGCCCCATAATTGGAATTTTCCCTCGGGAGCAAACCTTATTTTCCAAAATTTTCTGTGGGGAGAGCACCCTAGACCGTTCTCCGAATGGAGGCGCGTCCACTGTGCCGTTCGCCGAGGACCGTGAAGTGTAGGTACATAGGCGCCCCCGGACGGTCTTGCCTCACCAACATTTTGAGCTATCTACAGGCCCGTGTACACACATCAATCTATTATAGTAATTGTGTCTTTTGCTAATTAAAAAATTCTCGGATTTAATAATTTATGTGTTTCCAAAGAAGCAAATTATTCCGGGTCATATCTCATAAATCATTCCAGAGATATTTATGACACCGTGTAACCATATCGACCTATTATAGTAATTGATTTTTGTTTCTAATTAAAAATTTATGTGTTTTCATGGAAACAAATTTTACTTCTTTTTTTTTTATATACGGGTATCTTCGTATCTGTGCTTTTCTGTCAAAGAATGTATTTTGTTTTCAGGGAATACTAATTGGCGGAGATCTAAAAACAGCTTTACCTTTAATAGCGTTTGGCTCCATCTGTGTAATTGCTGGACTACTGTCTTTGTTTCTACCTGAAACTTTAAATCAAAAGTTGCCAGAAAACGTCGAAGATACTAAAAGTTTAAGAAGGTATTATATACATACACAGCATTGGAGGATCTTGGTGGGGGGTCGAGAAGAACCTTTTGGGATTATGAGGGATGGTGCCTGTAGATTGACAAGGGAAGTGTGGGGATGGGACAACTGTCTGCACATTGGCATGCACGTAAAATAGTATGCTATAAGCCTGCTGTATGGACAGATTTGAAATGTATAAACTGATGAGAATGTTCTCTATATAAAATGTAAAAATCGTGACCAATAGCAGCAAAAGAAAAAAACCCCAAAAAAACAGTTACTAAAATTATTAGTTAAGGACGAGTTACTTCCCTTTATCCTTTGTATGGAATCGCACCATTATTTTGCAGATTTATTTAATGGTTGCGAGGATATTCCAACGTAATTTATAACTAATACAATGGCCCTTATCACATATATATAGTTAAACAATTTTTTTGATAACACAATTTTTATTGTAATGTTTTCTTAAATATATATTATTTATAATTTTAGGAAAGGCCAAAACAAAGCTACGGCGGTGATGACAAAAATTTATGGTAACCATAATGAAATGGAAAAATTCTTTGATGTGCAACAGCAGAATCATCAAGACAATGTTAATAATTATATAGAATGCAAGAAACTTTAGAATAAATAAACCATTAAGTTTGCTTGTGGAGCTATGAATTGTCCACAATAAGCAGTTCATGGCAAATACAAAGACTGATTTGAAATATCGGATAGGGAGAGTAATGTCTGTGCAAAGAGACGGGCCTTTGTCCATAATTGCACAAACTTTAGTCAAAAAAAAGTATCTTAATCGAAATGGGCTTATGTTTTGTGATGGACCACAGGAGGGGGAATAGTCAGCATAGTCGTTGGGGTTGGATGAAAAAAAAAGGAGTCCGGTGTACACATTGGCATGGACGTTAAAGCATCATTGACAGCTGGAATTCGATATAAGAGTACACCGTAGCGCCGCTGTTCGGGTAAAATTTCCCCAATAGCACATTGATTGGCGTATGCCCGTCTTCAATAACCCGATCAGTGCAAAACAGTAGGTTGTTAAACCCCATTTCATCTAGGCTTGGCAGGCTGATGACGGGGCGTTTATCTTAGTCTAGTCGTGATTTTTGGTGCCTCTCTTCATCTATATGGCACAGATAATAAAACAATCGTCTAGTTATTATTATTCATTTATTACGGATGAATATTACATTATTAAAGCAATTCGTGCCCTAGTAATGTCCCAGCAGTTTAGTTCCATGAATAGTAAACGATCCCTCTATAGAACATTAGAACCAACAGATTTCTTCTGGTTTGGTTGTTGACCACCAACATAAACATTTATTTTTCCTGAAACATTCCAGCAGTTTATTCGTAATTAATACAAATATGTTTAAATTATTTATTCCTATATGTAGTGGGTCTTAAAATCAAAGGGCAAATTGTCCCTTCTCTGGTGTGTTTGAATTGTCTTATGAGTCAAGTCCCCAAAAATGTGTCCTTTCTGAATCCGAGATTCGTGTTTGTAAATGTTTGATATTGTTCCCAGTTGATCCCGTACCTAAGGGAGGGGCCACTCTAGGGCAATCTAATCTACAAAAATAACCATTTTCTGGTAATTAACTAAAACATACCTTGGCTGTACACCTAGGGACCCACCAAAAATGTTCCCAATTGGCTTCTAAAGCCAATCCTACTATTTGCTAAAGCATTATGACATACGTTTGATAGTTTGCCTGCTTTGCCGTATCGTGGGGGTTACTTTGGCCTAGGGTGCAAACATTTTGTCGATCTAGACTAGTTAAATGACGAGTGTGTTGCGATATATTAGCATTATAAAGACAACCTTCCTGAAACGTGACTCATGCGCCCATTAGTGCGGGAGCCCAGGGGGTTAACCAAGCTGAAAAGTGGAGCAATTTTCTCCTATATGGTATCAATGAATGTATATCTGGTATCACCAGAATGGAAGTCTGCCGGGCTTCTGGTGGTGGGTGCGGTATTCCTCGTCCAAAATGCTATGCCCCAACCAAATAGACTAGATTAGCTCAAAAGTGAACCACACGAAAATCTTACTGCAGTGTACCGTAGATCTTCAGGTGTTACAAAAAAACACTCTGACAGACATTTCTAGTGGTGGTTTACCCCTGACAGAGCTATGTAATTGCCAGACATTTGTAGTGGTGGAGTATCCCTGACGAGAGTTTTCTAATTTCCAGACCACATCTAGGCTCGATTAGCTGAAATCTACCACCTAAAACAGATTTGGAGTTGTTCATTACCACTACAGGAATCATGAATGGCAATTGCCAGACAGTTTGTGCGGTGGGTTACCCCTAACTTACTCCTTAACTTATGATGTACACATAGCAGGTCATGTCTAAGTGGGCTACTGTCAGTCTTTATCGAAGCACTGGTTTTTGACTCTTACTAATCTAAAGCATGCTTTAGTATTATCAGTTAATTTAGAAGTCATATTTGGAACAGTGGAGTTCACATTCAAAGAATTTTGTTTAGCATACATTACACAAAACAAAAACTTAAAGAATAAAATACGATTATCGCAGTAATATAGATCAAAGACCTAAAGTTACAAATTTGAATCAACCATATATAGTATTCAAAAAAGTAGGGGATATTTGATTTTTAAGTATTATTAAAGTCACCTAGTGAAACTGACGAAGAAACAAATGACAAAATGAAATGAAGTTCACATTCATCGATTTATCCCAAATGATCGTTAGACTAAGTAAGGCACAGACTGACCATTATAAGGGTAAAATGATACCCGGGGTCAAACAGCAAAGTTACCACAGCATCACAACCAAGTCAGTAACGGGTAAATCCTCCTCTGTTTGCCAAACAAGCATTGATCCGACGTGGCATACTCCTAATGAGACGTCTAAGGTCATTTTGGTCCAGATTGTCCCATTCCTGTTGCAACACAGCAGCAAGTTCTTGGACATTGGCAGGACGTTGTTGACGTTGACGTAACCTCTGTCCAAGCATGTCCCAGACATGCTCGATGGGGGAGAGGTCGGGACTCAGTGCTGGCCAAGGTAATGTGGTGATGTTCTGTTGTTGGAGGTAACCTGTAACGATCCTGGCCCTGTGACATCTTGCGTTGTCATCCTGGAAGATGAAACGGCGGCCATGACGTCGTGCGAACGGCACAACATGGACTGCCAAGATGTTGTCCCGGTAGTACTGGCCTGTAACACGCCCTGCAACAACATGTAAAGCCGTTCTTCCAGCAACAGTGATGCCTCCCCACACCATAACAGAACCACCCCCAAATCGATCATGTCTGATGACGTTAACGTCTTGGAAGCACTCGTTTCGACGACGCCACACCCTCCTACGTCTGTCCAAAAAATCAACAGTGAACCTTGACTCATCTGAAAACATCACATTGCTCCAGCGTCGATTATCCCAGTGTTGACGATCCCTACACCAACGACGTCTTGCCTGAATGTGATGATCTCTCAAACAAGGGATCACGCGAGGACGTCGGGCGCGAAGGTGACCCCTATGCAGTCGATTCCGAATCGTCTGGCCACTCACTCTCACACCAGTGTCTGTTTGAAGACGAGCGCTGATCTGATTTGCTGTGATGACACGATTTCTCAAGGCCAAGGTACGGATAAATCGATCCTGGGCTTGAGTTGTCGCCCTTGGTCGACCTGAGCGTGGTCTGTCCTGTACAGATTGTGTATCACGGTATCTGGACCATAGCCTGCTTATGACAGACTGAGAAACATTCATCGTCCGCGCCACAACCGCCTGTGTTGTGCCGATCTGTAGCATGCCAAGGGCACGTAACCTTTCATTTTGGGTAAGCCGACGCATATCAAAATTTGTTTTCTGGTCACTAAAACAATTAAACTGATGTTTCCACCCTGGAATTCAATGCCACAATGACTGTAACATTCAAAGTCAGAGTCGTGCAAATCTTGGGTTGGACCCCCATGATGATCCCAAGCATCACCTGCATTCCATGCGGTAGCTATTGGTGCGTTTGGGCGTCACATGTAACTGGAAATGTTTCTTCTGTTAGGTTCTATAGTGACTTTTTTCGTAGTCATTTGCATATTTTAGTATTATGCCCCCAAAATCAAATATCCCCTATTTTTTTTTAATAGTATATATATAAAGTGATATGTACAATTATATAACAAAATTATTAACTCATATGGAAATTTATATACAATTCTGAAATGTTTAACAATTCTGATATATAATACTCTTAGCAAGACTGGTGATAAATTTGATAAAAATATTTGTAAGAGTAAGTATTGAAATGAAATGAAGTGGGGTTTAACGCCCTACTGTTCTGCTCCGACTAATACAGTGTGCTATGAGGTAAATTTGGCCTACTCTTATATCGAATTCAAACTGCCAAGGGGTCTTTTACGTGCATTCCAATGTAAACACGGGACCTCGTTTTTTTCATACCATCCCAACGACTAGACAGTTGTCCTTATCAGGCCATGCATCCTGCACCACTGACAAGGGAAAAACACGCCGGAAAATCCTGATGAACTTTCTCGGCCAATGCAGTGATCGAACACGCGACCTTCAGGCTAGCGAGTCAGCGTCTTACCCACTTATGCCCAAATCAGACCGAGTTGGTGCCCTTACTGCGCTGCAGCCACCAGAAAATGCACAAGATCGCCGGCAAACCTGAACAAAAGGCGAGAAAATGTCCCAAAAAATTACAAACTCGAAAAGTGCCGCGTTCTCACAGCTTTCCAGAACCTTGGCGTTTGTTTTGAAATGTTCAAAACAAACGCCGTGACTGGGCTATCATTTGCGACCATGGTGACCACAGGGCGACATCTGGTGTTTCCACCACGCTTTTACCACGCTTATGGCGATCTTGACTCACTCTGAGACCATTTTCCGTCGCCGCAGCCGCGCATTAAGAACGCCATCTCGGTCTGACGGGGGTATTAGTCACAGTGACCCCGTATAAATAATTATACTTGTGTAGTAGTAAATATGCAAACGAGTAGGCTATATTTACAAACAATTGGTGTGGGATTAAATATTAATTACAAGAATTTATTTATGATACTTGCTGGTCCTTCCTTTATAACTAAAATCTGGAAAGTTTAGAAAGTTAGAATGAATGATATTTACCAAATATACACGTTTAAAACAGACATCTCTGATGTTCTTTGTTTCTATACATTCAAACATTGATGATATAATGGACATAAGGCAAAAGCAGTTTGATTTTTTTTCTATACAAATACAGATATGATAGATAGTAATATATTTAGCCTAAATTTTGTAATATCTGTTCTGTGTCTTAATTGAGTGTTTGACAATAAATAAGATTCCTAAAATAAATTTATTTTAATTCTTCAAAAGAATCTTTTAAACTTTCCTTTTCTGATAATTTAGCTGATAATTCTTGTAAATTTATATCTTATAATCTTAGCTTAATTTTACTTATAACTATATAAAAACTGGCGATTATTTCAGTTTCAAAAACATAACCAAGATGTATAAAAGAATCTGATCGACTTTTGTAACACAACTTAACCGGCTTGCTTCAAATATCTTGCTTTATTATTTTAACATAATAAATACTTGTTTAGGATATCGATCTATGGACATGTGTCTTCCACATCTCACATGAAATGTTCCAGCATTTAGGAACTCTTATGAATTCCTAAAATGAATTAGCAAAAGTTGTTATGCACTTTTTCAATTGTGTGCAGCCGTCTTCATTAGCACAGCTGGAGCAGAACAGTAGGACGTTAAACACGATTCCATTTTAGTTCATTTCAATTTCGTGCCGGCATTCAAAGCCCCACAACTCCACTCCACAGAATATATGAGGACAGGGTTGATAACATGATCAAAAATATTAAAGCACAGGTTGATATCTAAATTCTCCGTCTTTTTAATTAAACGTTTTATAGGTATCAAGGCCTTCTCCGCTTAAACTGATAAATTAGTTACATTTTTATGCCCTTTAACCACAGACACTGATTGGCTAATGTCCTCCAAAATTCGCTCCGTCGGCGGCGTTCGCGGAAAGTATTAACGACCCTTACGTCTATTATATGGAAGACATAAACTCCTGTTGTTTGTATGAATGTGATACTTGGAACACATCAAATTGAAATCCGCGACAATATAAAACATAATGCTTGTGGCCAACAATTCACTTGTTACGCACAACTGCACAGGCATAATAACGAACGTGTTGGCAAACGCTGCACTGTACCTATATGAAGTCACGTGATCGGCTTTTTTCGTATTCCGTGGTTCAGCAGGATGAAGTTTGATAACGTATTAGAATATCTGGGAGAATTTGGATTATATCAGAAAAGAATATATGCTTTGGTGTGTTTACCAGCTTTAGTCAATGGATTATTTATCATTTTGACCGTTTTTATACTGGCCATACCCGAGCATAGGTAAGTCCAGAGGGTAAATTTAGCATATTGACTGTTTTTACTGGCTAACGCGAATGGCGTTAAGTTCATGAGTTTGTTCATCCAGGAGGTAAATTTGCCAATTCTGAAGGTGAGAAGAATTTAATTGAAATAAAATTATGTGCTATTTTATTATTCGAATTTAATCAGAGAAAACAGTATGTGAAATCTCCGTTCAGTTGGTTGTTTAAAGTTAAATTGCTTGATAACGGTGAGAGTAACCTCATTGAAACGTTGCAGTTAATAAACCTAGTGAATGTCATCCATAAAGCTGTCTGTTATTATACTTCTTTATGTTATAAATAATTTAACAAGGATCATGAAGCTTACCTCCGAATTCTCTGAGTGTATTTTTAATTTTATACGCATTCTTTCGATCGAATAATAACCGCTTCAGTAACATAATGGTATATAATGCTACTAAGCCCGTATGACCCCGTAAGAAGCGGAACATTAATTCTCGATTCGACAGTTTTGACCGAAGTGGGATAAAGCCCGTAAAACGAATGTATAGTTGTGTTTGTGCGGCATGCGTTTTCAAAAGTAAATAATCCCATCCGAGTCGCTAATCAAATAATTAGAACAAAATATTTCAAAAAGTAAAGCTATAAAATTTGCAGAGATTTTACTAGAATGTAAAAGACGGTAACTAAATACAGGAATGCGGGTAGTTATGTGTGCGAACGCTCAAACTCAATGCCAATTGTCGTAGGTATCCAGACTACTCGGACTAAAGACTACTCGGACTAAGACCAGTCGGACCAAAACAAGACCAGTCGGACCAATTAAATTATATTATAAGGCTAGACAATATGCTATTTATTTATTATTAAATCACAATACAAAGAAGCAAATAATTCTTATACGGAATTCTTATATTTAGAGTTGTTTAGTTCAATTTTGTGTACGGAAAATAAATCAACGATTAGTTTTAAAATTAATTAATAATGGTGCCCAAAAAAATATCAATCTAATTTTTCTTATTTACTCTTGCAATGAGACTCGGTATGTCCAGACTTTTGACAGTTTCTACATATACGGGTATACTGTTCTTGTCTGATAGCCTAATTTTACTTTTTCCACATTCGCGGTATCCCCAGTGGTTTCATTCCGTTCTACCCCACTAACCCCTGGGTTACTATATATGTGGGGGGGGGGGGGGGAGAGACACATAATAATACGAAGACCGGACGTTTATATGTCCCTTTTTAAACGTGACTACAAGTGTGGTTCTCGATATTTTGCGATTTGGAATACAATTATCAATTTATTCAAACAACACGTTATTATTAGTTCGAGTAGTCATATTAAAACACACACAATTAGCAATTTATTCAAATAACACTTTATTATTGGTTCGAGTAGTCATATTAAAATAAACACAATTATCAATTTATTAAAATAACACTTTATTATTGGTTCGAGTATTCATATTAAAGGCTCAATACCACTCTTGTTGTAACTGAATAATATGTCCCAATCTTTATTCTGGTCAACAAATTGTACTATTTTAGAATATTTCAATTAATTGATGATACAAATTTCATCTTAACACACCTTATTTAAAAATATTGAAATATTCAACATAATGGTTTGAAACGTCTAACATAATCCTTTTCAAATGAAACTTCGATTTAAAAATATTTTCGAACCCTCTGGACAAGTAAAATAGGATGTAATGGATAATTTACACAACAGGTAGGACACTTAAACATCTAGTACTTAGATAGAGATATTATTTATTTTCTGGAGCTTTCAAGCCAGCAAGAGTGTTATTGTCCCTTTAAAACAAACGCAATTATCAATTTATTAAAACAACACTTTATTATTGGTCCGAGTCGTCTTTCTGTTGGGTCCGAATAGTCTTTTTGTATGGTCCGGGTAGTCTATTTGTTTGGGCTGAGTGGTCTATCAGTTGGTCCGACTGGTCTTGAACCGAGTGGTCTTTGGTCCGAGTGGTCATGGATTCTTGTCGTAATTGTACTTGAATTTCCTATGCTGTCACCCCTAATACGAAATGATATCTTCCGCAGAGTGACGTAACCATCTTCCATATTGGTATTTTTCTCTGGGAAAAGTTTGTGATATTTCAATTTTTCAAGAGAGAACTTGTTTTCATCGTTGTGATAATTAGTTGTGCAATGGATTTTATCGAACGGGAGTTCATTACAAACACACAGGTAAGTTTATAATAACCAAAGTTAAGTAGTTTGTTCATAATCGAAGAAATCCGTTTAAAATTTACCAAGACTCAGACAGTAGTTACCAGATTTGTTTAATTGTTATCCACCATAGCTAAACATATAGGCAAAACCACGAAATTCACCTACACATAAGCAGAACCACGAAATGTACTTATACAAGCAAAACCACGAAATGTACTTATACAAGCAAAACCACAAAATTTACTTAGCAGAAATTCTAACCCGCGAAAAGGGCGGAAGTCCAAACAACAGCAAACCTTGTCCTTCCAGACACTCAAGTTGCCAATCATTAAAGCATTGGGAAAGCCACGAATTTCCAGACACAAAAAACGTCAAATGGACCAAAAGAAATACAGCTCAGTGTATTCGAACCTTACAAACAATATCTTTATTCTGATTTGCAGGGACTGGGGAACAGGCCTAATCCCACATGTTGTGCTCATGTTCGCTTAACAAAGACATATTATAGACCAAGACAATATTACATTTTATAATAAACCGAAAAAAACATATAGGATGAAATATATAAATAAAAATTGTTATTCAGGTAAAATTACATTAAAATAGTTCTAGATGTAAATTTACGGTGAGATTTAGATATTAACCAATAAGAATAGATCCCCTTTTAACAAATATTATTAGTCAATAGCAGGATACCCGGCTTCGCTCGGGGGTCATAACTCCGAAGCCGGAAGTGGTAGACTAACGCCACCTGGCCTATGTTACTCCCCGGTCCGAGCTACCCCTATACCCCAAATTTCAGACTCGGGGCAGACCTAGTGTAGTCGCCAACCCCGAACAGACCGGCTTCGCTCGGGGGTCATAACTCCGAAACCGGAAGTGGTAGACTAACGCCACCTGGCCTGTGTTACTCCCCGGTCCGAGCTACCCCTATACCCCAAATTTCAGACTCGGGGTAGACCTAGTGTAGCCGCCAACCCCGAACAGACAGACAAACGAGTCACAAATATATATATAGAAAGATTTAAATCAACATTGATGTTGTTATCTCACCGTGAAAATATGTTCTTCTGGTATCAAATATTTAAGACAATGAAAATTTTAAACTTGGTATACGAATCGCGTGCCAGAATGCTTTTGAACGCCATTTGTAATGGAGTGGCTGGATGAACGAGGCTAAACATATCCCACAAGGGAAGAATACCGGAATATTTTGCCGGACATAACTGATTAGAAATTACAGTAAAAATAGAAACGATTGAATGGAAATCAGTTTATATACATTCATATTACATTATTATATGCGCTGCGACCCAGTTGTTTCCCTTTCTAGGTGCCAAAGAATAACGATTTAGCTCCTTTAAATGGAACATTTATTTCTCATGTTTAGACATAACTAACATGTTTTAAACATGATTCAATGCCATAAACTATCATTTTCAGCCAAAAAATTCACTATTTAACCAAATTGAGAGGTGGTTGGATTTTGACCTACTTTCAAACTGAAAGTGATTTTTGAGGAAAAATTTGGCTAAATAGTGCATTTTTCGCCAGAAAATCATGTTAAAAGGAAATAGAACGAAATACAAATTCTAACTGCAATATATTATAAGAAATGGGCCATATAAATTATCATTTTAAATGTGGAAATAGCCAATTTACTCCATGTAAGAAATTACCTGCATTCGAGTACCGATAAGCATATTATCATACTCTATCATACTCATTACTGAGTTAAGAGTAAGAATTATGGCTCCATATATTGTTTTTTTGTAACCGTTGTTGTTAGAGCATGGACAATAATTTGTAACCACAAATATAAGAGCATGGAGCATATTTTGTAACCTTTGTTTAGGGCCATAAGGCACATTTTGTAGGGGCATATTTTATAGTCACTGTTTAGGAGCATGGATCATATTTGTATCGTTTTAGGAACATTGGGTATTTTTTGTAACCACTGTTTTAGGATTATGGAGCATTGAATAAGCGTCCAGTTCTCGTTCTAAATTACTTGAGTATTATTGAGTATCTTTAGATGAAGAATCCGAAAAAAAGACTATGATTAATATAAGCAAACTTTTGATGGAAAAATTTAACCCTCCTATTGTTATACCACTCGCCATACCCGACTGAACTTTGTATCCTAGACAATAAGGATGAAACACGTGAGGTGTGTTACTCTACAAAGGTACCTAAATTCCCATAGTAATAACAATAACGGTGTCATATATTTTTTATGGCTGTAAAATTTCACACCTTTTGTTTGCTGATGACATGATACGGTTATCAACTTGTTACTAATGGTCGTCTTCATTATCAAGATCGATGCAGAAATGTAAGACATTAAACCTGTTTTATTTCAGTTCATTTCCGATTCTGGCTCCCCAAATCGGTTGAAACGAGTATAATTATTTAGGGGTGGTGTGTATATCCAACAATTCTACGTTCAGAACTGCAATGTAGGAGTTCTGGGATAAAAACTGGAGTTGTTGGGTTCAAGTTACGAAATAAAATTTGCAGTGCCCACAGATTACCTACGAATTATATTAGATAGGAACAACTCGACGTTGCCTATAATAGTTGCTGTCCATCATGGGGATGTAAAGTTTAATAATAATACATGTCCGTATAAGCCATAAACTCAGTTCAATGCCAAGAAAGTAATAAGCGATTTCTACTCTCTTGGTGTGTTTCTGGAGATTTCGTAGGCTGTATTCTATAATCTATAAGTTTGTCCTCTGGAGGCTTTACGGTCAACTCCACGCAGAGTATGTCATCTTGCAGGGAATGTCAGTCGTAAATGAGAGGCTAGTCTAGCATTAGGTGGAAAAGAAAGAGCTAGTGGGAAATTTTATCGCCTCCAGGTTACAGGCATTTACAGTGTCCAATGCTGTTGTTAAGGACCATTCATACTCCATTCTGAAGGCGTTGCTCCCAGGTACCAGTAAGTAAACTAAAGCCTAATCAGGACCGCTGGGGTAATGGTTAGATCAGCTCTGAAGTAGGTCTCATTACACTCGCCCTGTACACTGAAAAAAAAACTTGTGTTGAAACAACATGTAAATGAACATCTTGGTGAGAAAATAAGACCTTGCTCAAATTTACGAACTCGGCAATATAAGATGAAACAAAATTTAGTTAAGCCTGGGGGGAAAAATTGCAATCTTTGAAAAGTTGAGAATCTTCAGTCATTTATTGCTTTGCCTATGTAAAGCAGTGGAAGCTGGAGTTTATCATACAAGCATCAGTCCAATTACGAATGTATGACTGAAACACCCCTGATGTCTTATTTTGTTTTTAATTCATCTTTTAGGTGTGCCGTACCGTCTTTATCTAATGATACGTATGCTATACAAGGATCATGGCATGAAGACTTGATTAACCAGTCTATACCTAGTAGTAAAGATGGCTGGTCTAAATGTACTATATATAATTATACTGAAGATGGTAATAAAACAGAAGTTAGATGTAATAAATGGGTTTATGATAAATCACGGTATGATAATACATTTATGTCACAGGTGAGTAGAATTCTGAATACATTTTACTTTTCTGCGTTTATTGGTCTATTGAGAATAGTTTTGCGTCATGCAGGGTACTAGAAAGGAAATGTTGCCCGGACGTGTACAGTCTCCCAATCTGTTCTTCACCGAATTTAAATTGTCAGGGGTTCTTTTACATGTACAGACTTCGTTTTTTGTTCAATACGAACAACTAAACACGTTTCCTTGCCAGTGGCGGCGCCAGTGGGGGGGGGGCAAGGGGGGCATTTGCCCCCCAATTAATCTGGTCTGCCCTCTGTTTGCCCCCCCCCCCCAATAATTTTAGAAAATAAAAAAAAGTATTTGTGATACGTTTCGGTAATCAATAACTTCTACGGTGAATAAATCCCACATCCCCACTCAGTCATAAACTTGCATGTTTTAGAGCATTTCCGACGGTCTATTTTTCAAAATTTTCTTGGCGAGGTCTCCAATGGACTCGCTACTTTGGCGCTCACAAGGGGAATACGTTGAGGTTCGCAAGTCCGTTCGTTTGACATTTTGTTGTCTAGTCGGATAAACTAGTGATCAGGCGACGGACGGTATCTGGTCAGATCTATTTATCTCGACGATCGGTGCCTGACAGAATACTGTAAGACAGCATTTCCGGCAGTCTATTTTTCAAAATTTTCTGGGGGAGGACTCCCTACTTTGACGCTCTTGAGTGGGCTTCGTCGTGATTCGCAAGTCCGTTAGTTTGACACTTTACCTCATCGATCAGTGCCTGAAATACTGCCAGGCTGCATTTCCGGCAACCTGTTTTTCAAAATTTTCTGGGGGAGGCCCCTTACCCCTAGTTAAAGCTCATGCCTTTGCCCCCTTAACCTTGGACTTTGCCCCAGCCTTGCCCCTCCAATCACCGACGGCTGGCGCCGCCACTGTTCCTTGCCAAGTCCGCCGTCCTGCACCAGAGAAACCCAACCGTGAACGTTCCCAACCAACACCGTGACTTCCTGGTGAATGGCTCTCCTCATTAGATTAAAGAACAATATTGGTGTCATCGTGTCAGTCATTATCACATATGTGATGGTTAAACACGTTCCAGATATAATTTTAACATAGAGATCAATGCTACGATAGATGCGTAATGAAGATTTCAAGAAAAGGGAAGTGACGAAAGGAAAGCACGAGTTATCCTTCTGAAATCTTTATAACTGACTGAAGTGATGAGTGATAACAGATACACGGCTAATAATTCCTTCGAAGACCAAAAGTTAATATGTGAGACTGTGAGAGAATATCTGACAATTCTAAAAAGTAATTGAATGTCACTCACTAGATAAGAGAAAACGAGAAAAATAGAATAGTCCGTACATTCCCTTGTTTCTATTTATTCTATATTTAAACATACATTATGCAAGTGCTAAATCTGCCAATTTCAGGCATTTCTTTAGGCCTGACATTTTATCTAAATTATTAATTAGACATTAATTAACTTATCCAGATCCACTCTCGATCTGCTTTTCAAATTCACCGAAGATTAAATTAAAAAAGTCTGGATAATCGAGACTATGTTTTTATCGTACCGACTTTAATAATGATGATCGTGGCTAGGCCTAAAATTCAACCGCTAAATTCTTGGTTCAGAGTGGATCAATTTGACTGAAATTTTCAGCAAATTCCCTTTACATTATCTATTTTTTAACTATTATAACTATTTTAGTTAATCTTCCATAATGTATCTTTAATAAAAACACGATGCTGGGGCAAACAGATGAAATGCGCATGTCCCGTATCTATGATTAAGTATAATATTATTACTTCATTTCAGATATCGAAAGCTATCAAGTCGTTCCCTCATCGAAGTTGCAATTTTATTTATAGTCAAAGTGTTTTCGATATGAATTTTTAATATAAAAAAAAATTGTTTATGAATAAATATATATGGTTTGGAGAAACACTGGTGTATTTATTAATAATATATTTCAGCTAAATCTAGTTTGTGGTAAAGAAATCTACAGATCGCATAGTAATCTCGCCATGTTTGGGGGGAAAGTTTTCGGAGCCATCTTACTTGGTATGGTTTCAGATGTGTAAGTAAATCTGAGAATTTTTATTAATAGATTCGCGGAATTTTTAGTAATAGATTCGACGTATTTTTTAGTAATAGATTTGAAACATTTTTGTTTTAAAGTAACCTTCTACGACAAGTAGGGGGCTTGTACTTTAGATCATAAGGTCTGTCATTGAGTATTGAACTGGTTAGGATTCCCAGCTTGCACGTGATAAGGAATAGGGTCGCCTGTCCAACCTCGTGGGTTTTCTCCGGGTCAACCGATTTCCGTCCACTGCTAAAGAACCCTACAAGCCATAACATTGAACCATATGTTAGTTCCGATATTACCTAGCACGTGTCTACCATTTCTCTTTCTCTGTAACAACAAAGTACAAATGCCTTCCATTTTTATACGCCCACATTGAAATGTGGTCGTATATTGTTGTCGCCCCCGTCCGTCGGTCCGTCCGTCCGTCCGTCTTCCACAATTGCTTGTGGACGCTCTAGAGGCTAAAGTTAATATCTGATTGACTTTAAATTTATACACAGTGTTTAAGGTCTTGAGACGAAGAAGCCTATTGATTTTCAGCGATTTCCGATAATTACTGCCAGAGTTATGGCCCTTGACCACTTCAAAAAATCTTGTGGACGCTCTAGAGGCCAAAGTTAATATCCAATTGACCTTAAATGTATACACAGTGTTTTAGGTCATGAGACGAAGAAGCCTATTGATTTTCAACGATTTCCGATAATTACTGCCAGAGTTATGGCCCTTGATCACTTCAAAAAATCTTGTGGACGCTCTAAAGGCCAAAGTTAATATCCGATTGACTTTAAATTTATACACAGTGTTTAAGGTCATGAGATAAAGAAGCCTATTGATTTTCAGCGATTTCCGATAATTACTGCCAGAGTTATGGCCCTTGATCACTTCAAAAAATCTTGTGGATGCTCTAAAGACCAAAGTTAATATCAGATTGACTTTAAATTAATACACAATGTTTAAGGTCATGAGACGAAGAAACCTATTGATTTTCAACGATTTCCGATAATTACTGCCAGAGTTATGGCCCTTGATCACTTCAAAAAATCTTGTGGATGCTCTAGAGGCTAAAGTTAACATCCGATTGACATTAAATTGATACACAGTGTTTAAGGTCATAAGATGATGAAGCCTATTCATTTTCAGCGATTTCCAATATTTGCTGCCAGAGTTATGGCCCTTGATCACTTTGAAAAATCTTGTGGACGCTCTAGAGGCCAAAGTTAATATCCGATTGACTTTAATTTATACACAGTGTTTAAGGTCATGAGACGAAGAAGCCTATTGATTTTCAGCGATATCCGATAATTACTGCCTGAGTTATGGCCCTTGATCACTTCAAAAACTCTTGTGGATGCTCTAGAGGCTAAAGTTAATATCCGATTGAGTTTAAATTTATACACAGTGTTTGAAGTTATGAGACGAAGATTCCTATTGATTTTACTGCCAAAGTTATGGCCCTTGATCACTTTGCAAAATCTTGTGACGCTCTAAAGGCTAAAGTTATCATCCGATTGACTTCAGATTGATACAAAGAGTTTAAGATCTTGAGACGAACAAGTATATTGATTTTCAATGAATTTTTATGACTTGAACAGTTAAATCCATGATATTAAAAGCTTTGCATACAAAACGTTAGCATGGGCAAGAACTTTATAAAAACCAAACAAATTCTAATAATTTTCTGATAATTACTTCTTAAGTTGTTACTCTTAATCAGATTTTAGTGTATTATAAATATTTCATTACCGAAAAAAGTAAAAATATGCGACAACCCTTGTTGACTGCCCGGACCATTTAGTTGCTGTGGGCGTATGTTTCGTTGCCTGGCAACCTATCTTTAAAAAAGGAGACAATTTGTATCCTCTTGTATGTAAAGTCAAAATTGGATATTGTGATTTACATTTGCCTATACGGTGGGCAGTAGTAGTCTTAGTTGATTTTTTTGCTCTATCTTAATTGGTTTGATTTAGCCATTGTTAATGTAGGTATATAACCTGGGATAGCTCATCGAATCCATAATGATTAATCTTATCATTGTTTACAGACTTGGAAGAAAGAAGACCCTTATGATTTGCCTTTTCATTAAAGTTTCATCAGGGATAGGACTAGCTTTTGCTACGAATATAGTTAGTTTCCTTGTTTGTAGATTTCTGGTGGGTTTCAGCAGTATTACCTGCTTTATCACAGCTTATGTAATTGGTAAATATCTTTATAATTCCGCGTTTTATCACGGCTTATGTTATTGGCAAATATCTTTATAATTCCGCGTTTTATCACAGCTTATGTTATTGTAAATATTTTTATAATTTAGCGTTTTATCACCACTTTATCTAGAATAATAAAGAAAGACGGTCATATTCCATGCAGTGTATTATGAGAGGAATTTCGCTCGGGCAGCGGAGCTATGGCTTACTTTTATTTTGAATTTCTACTGTCAAATTTTACAAGAAGCCTTGGTTGTTTGTACTATCCGAACGACTAATAGCGTTGTTTGCCCGGCACTCCGTCCCGCGTCTCTGACAATGGAAGACCATGCCAGCAAATCCTGTGGTACTCTTCCGATCTAGGTTTTCCCCCTCGAACAAACCTTTGACACCACCACTGGTTCGTGTCCTGATGACCACTGGCCCCTGTCAGCCAAGGATTTGAGGATGACTTCTCCGATTCCCACTCGACAAGGATTACAGAAAATTCAATGTCGCATGGTATAGGAGAAGGTGTGCTGGAGTCCATGAAGTCGATAGGCACTGGTTGGTGTACTCGGCTAAATGCAAAAGGATATTTTGCTTTTGTTGAAGTCGACTAAATTCAACAGGCTATTTTGTTTTTACTGAATTGGCTCAGACAATTATTGGCTTCGGTATTGTGATTGATAAGTTTGCTCAAATAAAACAAAACAAATTGGAATTGAAGAAGAAAATTGAGAATTTTGGTTGGTGGAACCTTAGATTGCAATTGAGACGATGACTGTAGGGTTTGGATGAACGATTGGCCCCGACGGGGGGAAATTGCTCCCCCTAGCTCGAAAAGCTATTTGCGCACCCCCCCCCCCCTCAATGTCAATCTGGATTTATTTGAAACGTTGACATAGGTACCTTGTGCTATTTTGTAGGTATGGAATTGGTGGGACCATCTAAGAGGAGGTATGCTGGTAATATAATCATGTTAGCCTGGGTAATCGGGTTGTTTCTTCTCGGTTTACAAGCATACTTTATAAGAGACTGGAAGAATCTGACTCTTGCTACCTCCGTGCCAAGCATTTTGTTTTTTTCTTATTGGTGGTAAGTTTCCTCAAACTGTACTAATGCAAGGTATTGAAAATACTGATTAGCAGTTCGATTAATGTATTTCACTCGACCGTGCGCTGCCCAACGTTCAATTTCAGAGAAGTACAACCATGGATCAGTTAAAAACTCGAGTCTTTGCATGGAAGGGGGTTGGACGCTGAATGGTTAGCACGTGTGCGCTGTATCATAAGGTCTGTCATTGAGTCAACTGGCGTGGTTTCGATTCCCCGGTTGTACGTGACAAGAAGTAGGGTCGCTTGTCCAACCTCGTGGGTTTTCTCCTGGTTCCGCGGTTTCCCTCCACATGTTAAAGACCCCTACGCGCCAGCGACTTTTTGAAATAAAATTGAACCATATGTTAGTCCCGAAATGACCTAGTTTGTGTCGAGTGGACGTTAAAATCTCTCTCTCTCTCTCTCTCTCTCTCTCTCTCTCTCATCTTACAAACATGGACAGTTCTCAAATACAACGTTTGACAATTCTAATTCTTAGTTTAGTAAACAACTAAATTAACGTTTGTTTATAGTAATAGTCGTTTGCGTTTTGATTGGCCAAAATAGCATGTTACAATGCTCTGGAATATTGCAGGCACTCGAGCTTAAACTGTTGGGTATTTAACAACAGTCTATTCTAGCTTGCGTGGGCATACTACCGCTTTAAGTGTATATTTGTAAATATTTTCAGGTTGTTACCAGAATCCCCCAGATGGTTATTGTCTAAAGGTAGATATAAAGAAGCAGAGGAAATTATCCGTAAAGCAGCCAAGGTCAATCAGGTTGACCTCCCGGAAAATCTTTTTGATAAATCATCTCTTGAAACAACTGCTAATGCTAATATAAGTCAGATGTTTACAACTCCACGACTTGTAGCGATGTCTCTTATTGTCTTCTTTAATTGGTAAGATTGTGTAGTGTACCGTTTTACGTGGTCGAACTCAAAATCCAAAAACAAACCCCACTCCTGGCCGGTCATCCATTAGCTAAGCCTGTTTCTTTAATCACTGCTCATATACTATAATTATTAGTAGCCCAAAATTATTTTTCTATTTGCATAATTGAAATTGAATTTATCCGATAAAGTATTTATTTTCATTTTTGTTGTAGGGTTGTAGGAAGTCTTGCATAATTAAAATTGCAATTATCCAATACAGTATTTATTTTTGTTGTATCTCTCTCTCTCTCTCTCTCTCTCTCTCTCTCTCCATAAAGTATTTATTTTAATTTTTGTTGTAGGTTTGTAGCAAGTGTGACATATTATGGCTTAACTTTAAATGTGACTAATCTAAGTGGAAATGTCTATCTGAACTTTACCATTGGAAACATAGCGGAGACCATCGCCTATGTTTTATGTATTATATTACTAGACAGATTAGGAAGAAAAGTTCTACATTGTTCTGTTATGTTAATAGGTGGTTTAGCTTGTCTCAGCACCATGTTTCCGGTTATATACGGAGATGATTGTAAGTATAAACAAATTCAATTTGAAGCTAATTTTTCACCGAGGTCACCCATTCTGTGGTTGGGCTATTTAACAGACATTTTAGAATGTCGAATGAGTTTAGTTTCTAAAATCGCCAGTGACTGACTATTTACGGAGATGTCCGAATGTATCTACTATTTACATATCATTTTCTTCAGCTCATCTTTGGATAACGACAGTTTTATCAACAATAGGGAAGCTAGCAATATCTGCTGCCTTTGCTAGTATCTACATTTTTACAGCCGAGCTATTTCCAACTACTCTCAGAAACACAGCTATAGGCAGCAGTTCAACCTGTTCACAATTCGGCGGAATGATATCTCCCTATGTAGCAGATTTGGTATGTCATGAATAGCGAAATAAAATAGGGATTAACGTCCAACAGTTCTGCTCTGACTGGAATAATAGAGTCTACTGCTGATATGAGGGACATTCTGTCTGGACTGCTGTGTTACGGCCTACTCTTACATCGAATTCCAACTGCCAGGGGATCTTTCACGTGCACACCAATGTGCACATGGTTGTGCCTTGTCAGGCCCCCTGTCCTGTGCCATTCGCGGAGGATCGTGAAGTGTAGTTACATAGGCGCCCCGGACGGTCTTGCCTCACCAACATTTTGAGCTATCTACAGGCCCGTGTACACACATCAATCTATTATAGTAATTGTGTCTTTTGCTAATTAAAAAATTCTCGGATTTAATAATTTATGTGTTTCCAAAGAAACAAATTTTTCCGGGTCATATCTCATAAATCATTCAAGATATATTTATGACACCGTGTACACATATCGACCTATTATAGTATTGGGTTGTTTTTTTTTTGTTTTTTGTTTTTTGCTAATTAAAAATTTACTTACATTTTGGTATACGGGTATTTTTTCGGGGCATAAACCTTTCAAGATATCTTCGTATCTGTGCTCTTCTGTCAAAGAATGCATTTTGTTTTCAGGGAATAATAGTTGGCGGAGATCTGAAAACAGCTTTACCTTCAATAGCGTTTGGCTCCATCTGTGTAATTGCTGGACTACTGTCTTTGTTTCTACCTGAAACTTTAAATCAAAAGTTGCCAGAAAACGTCGAAGATACTAAAAGTTTAAGAAGGTATTGTATAAATAAACAGCATTGGAGGATTATGGTTGGAGTCGAGATATTGACAAGGGAAGTGTGAGGATGGGACAACTGTCTGCACAATGGCATGCACGTAAAATAGTAGTATGGACAGATTTGAAATGTATAAAAAGATGAGAATGTGCTCTATATAAAATGTATAAGTCGTGACCAATAGCAAAGCAAGATAGATTGCTTCCAGTTACTAAAATTATCAGGATTAAGACTAGTAATTATTTCCCCTTATTTCATGAGGTACTGCGAGTTATAAATTGACAATTTTTAACTTAATTTTTTTCTCCCCTCTTCCTGCATTTTCGGGTTGATTTTGGGTCTAGAATTGGAAAAAATGGATCAAATTTGCAATTTCATAGCAGTTTTGGGTAATACTGATGATATTACAGCGGAGGGATAGGGGGTGTAAAGTGTCTTTCTGCAGAGCAGTCATTGTGTCGGAAGTGAGATTTTCACCCCAGTCAACATCAAATCCCCGTGGTAAAAAATCTAAACGGTCAACCCCCTACAAAATTATGATGAGGAGATTGCCAAATATGGTCCCCATTGTGCCTATAAAGATTGAAACCAACGGAATGTTGAGCAAAGAGCTAGAGCCTGTGATGTTACAGTCATTTAACATTGAAGTCAATGGGCAAATAATTGCTAGTCCGAGACCATCAGTTAAGGACGAGTTACTTCCCTTTATCCTTTGTATGGAATCGCACCATTATTTTGCAGATTTATTTAATGGTTGCGAGGATATTCCAACGTAATTTATAACTAATATAATGGCCCTTATCACATATATAGCTAAACAATTATTTTGATAACACAATTTTTATTGTAATGTTTTCTTAATATATATAATTTATAATTTTAGGCAAGGCCAAAACAAAGCTATGACAGAAATTAATGGTAACCATAATGAAATGGAAAAATTCATTGATGTGCAACAGCAGAATCATCAAGACAATGTAAATAATTATATAGAATGCAAGAAACTTTAGAATAAAGAAACCATTAACTTGCTATGAATTGTCTACAATATATGCAGTGTGTCTACAGTTCATGGGAAATACAAAGACTGGTTTAAGATATCCGATGGGGAGAGTTAATGTATGTGCAAAGAGACACAGTGCTTAGTCTAAAATAAGTATCTTAATCGAGATGGGCCTATTTTTGTGATGGACCAGGGGTGGTGGAATAGTCAGCATAGTCGTTCGGGTGGGATGAAAAACAGGGGTCCGGTGTACACATTGGCATGGATGTAAAAGCATCCCTGTAAGTTGGAATTCGATATAAGAGTACACCGTGGCGCCGTTGTCTGGGCAAAATTTCCCCAATAGCACATTGCTTGGCATATGCCCGTCTTCATTAGCCCAATTGGTGCAAAACAGTAGGACGTTAAACCCCATTTCATTTCATCTGGGCTTGGCAGGCTGGTGACAAGGGCGTTCATCTTACTCCAGTCGTGAGGTTTGGTGCCTCTCTTCATCTAAATGGCACAGATAATAAAACAATCGTCTAGTTATTATTCATTTATTATGGATGAATATTACATCATTAAAGCAATGCGTGCCCTAGTAATGTCCCAGCAGTTTAGTTCCATGTATAGTAAACGATCCCTCTAGTACATTAGAACCAACAGATTTCTTCTGGTTTGGTTGTTGACCACCAACATAAACATTTATTTTTCCTGAAACATTCCAGCAGTTTATTCGTAATTAATACAAAAAATGTTAAAATTATGTATTCCTATATGTAGTGGGCCTTAAAATCAAAGGGCAAATTGTCCCTTTTCTGGTGTGTTGGAATTGTCTCATGGGTCAAGTCCAAAAGAATGTGTCCTTTCTGAATCCGAGACCCGTGTTTGTAAATGTTTGACATTCTTCCCTACTGGTCCCGTACCTAAGGGAAGGGGCCACTATAGGGTAATCTACAAAAATAATCATTTTCTGGTAATTAACTAAAACATACCTTGACGGTACACTTAGGGACCCGCCAAAAAAGATCCCAATTGGCTTCTAAAGCCAAGCCTACCATTTGGCAAAGTATTATGACATACCTTTGATATCTTGGCTGCTTTGACGTATCGTGGGGGATACTTTGGCCTAGGGTGCAAACTATTTCTTGATCTAGACCAGATATATCACGAGTGTGTTGGGATATATTAGCATTATAAAGACAACCTTCCTGAAACGTGACTCGTGTACCCATGTCATTGGGTTTGCGGGGGTATTCGAATCTGATGCAATCCCTCCAAATTTTCTCGTACCGCTTCGCTCAGCAATGTATTTGCAATCCAACTCTGCTCTGAAAATCCCCATTGTTTAGTATTGTGTTAGCTTTAATGATACATCACGTAAAAAATGGGTTATATATCGAAACGACAAAACAACAAAAATATTTGCTAATCTTTAGTTACGAAGTTTTTGGTCCGTATTGGGTTCCTCAATTCCATAACATGTCAATACTTAAAACGGAAGATCAGATAAAGAGCTGACAGTTTTCACTGTAATATTAAAAAAAAATAGATGATGTAAAGGGAATATGCTGAAAATTTTAGTTAAATTACTTCACTCTGAGCCGAGAAATCCTCATTTTAATAACACTGTAGCATCGATTGTCATTGTTACCGTTGTTACGATAATAAACAAAGTCTCGATTATCCATTTTACGGTTAATTATCAACGGCCGTTGAACCGCAGATCGGATTTAAATCTGACAAAAATCGGAGCCATCAGACAGTCTTTTCATGTTAATGTCAAATTAACAGTTTATATATGCAACAGGCAGATCTAGCTCTTGTATGTTTAATCTTTTAGAGGCATTAGTTTGATAACGTTGAAAGAATGCTCTTCGAAACATCCCCCCCCCCCAATATATTGCATTTTCTGTTTTCCATAAGTATGTGATATAGTTTATTATGTCAATACTTGATAAAGAAGCGTTGCAAATTAAATGAAACGATAACATTTTACCGAAACTTTTGCGCATAGCTCCGCTCACCGAAACCCAAGACCAATTCCTGCGAAATTTGTCTTTAATCCTCTGGCTACAAAACCTGATTTCATTACTGCACCATACAGGTGACACGTACATTATGGGCTAAATAAAGAAACAGTTTTTGTTGGATACATAAACAAATGTTACATCTTTGGACATGAAATTCCGCATGGTTTTTCCTTGTGCAATGACATCCGATGTGGCTGGAATGGAGCCATTCTTCGTTCCTTCTCCTAATAACAAAAATAGTTACCTGGTTCGATTCTCCAACCAACGTTATCTAACAACAGCGCCATTTGTTTATATTTAATATCGAATTGCACAGTTGAAGTGGAGTGTGCATTAATAGTTACTCGATCAAAAAAGACCAATTCTAACTGCGGTTTAGGTATAGTTGTTTCAGCCCAGGAAATGTAGATTTGAACAACCTAAAGATAAATTGAGAATATAAACAAAACTGTATTGCTTTGTCCTCTTAGACCGTCGATTTTTATTGAAGAAATTGAACATCCTTAGAATATTGACAATTTACCAACAAAACTGAAGAGTGTAAAACCAGTATCATAAAGATTGTTGGTACCCTACATCTAACCTCGGCTTTATGACGGTAAGTGATATGTAGCCACACCCATACAATTGTGATGTGGCTATCGGTTTACTTATTAGAAAAAATTTGCCGCTTTCAGAAAGAAGTTCTTAAAATGGGGTCGTTCGTAGAGTGTGTAGTGTTTTCATTGCAAAGTTGTCCTTTGTTTAAAGAAAATCGGATAAACTTGAAAGAAAAACAGCTTTAGACATTGAAAGCTTTGTATGATAAAATACTGTTCACATGCGTCTTCATGGGCGCCACCATTTTTAATCCATTTTGAAACAACTTGAAATTTGTTTCAAAGGCGGAATTCGTCATACAGTCTAGCGGAGGGACTGACAAGGACAGCTGTCTAGTCGTTCGGATGGGACGAAAAACCGAGGTCCCGTGTATACATTGGCGTGCACGTAAAAGATCCCTTGACAGTTGGAATTCGATATAAGAGTAGGCCGTAGTGCCGCTGTCCGGGCAAAATTTCCCTCATAGCACACTGTATGGCGTATGCCCGTCTTCATTAGCCCAGTTCGGAGCAAAACAGTAGGACGTTAAACCCCATTTCATTTCATTTCATTTTATACAGTCTAGATTAGATGTCGGGTACTGGACTCTGCGGAGGTTTGCCGAGTGACTCACGGGGCTATAGTGTTAGAGTGGATCACCAAGTCGCTTGTATAAATAGGATTATAAGTATTACGACAATCTTTATTGACGTTACGTCATATTGATTATCAGGTGAAAGTGTCGATGATAGTGTGCACTGAAAATATATATTATTTTGAGATTCTGTGAATCGACTGATTAGCAGTCTGCAATTTGATTTGTAGCACAAACTGTTTGTTATGATCTAAAGTGAATCTTAAAAAAACGGAGCATGTTTATTGCAAGTCTTACCTCATCTCCAACAACACTTCCGGTATTGGTAACAACAACAGATCCTTTCAGATCGCGGCCCGCGTGTACTGTGGCATCCATTTTCAGATTACCATAGTGGAATTTAGTGTATGTAAGACCATAACCAAATGGATAAAGTGGTTTTCCTTTGAAGTATCTGTAAGTTCTTCCTTCCATTTTATAGTCGATCATTGGGGGCACCTTGACAAAAACAAGACGACGTGTTTACAAATGGAACAAGACGATTTGTTTTCAAATGGAATAAGACGACTTGTTTTCAAATGTTTAAGATCTAAAGTCTGCTGTTTTTATGCTATGATAATTTTTCAGGCTAATAGTTTTCAACCATTCACAAGAGGAGTTGATTTCTTGGTGGTAAACTAGCCAAGGCGATTGGAGAAATTAATTTTTAAAAATTTGAAAGTTTCTAAACAGCTTGAATAAGTAGAACATGGATTAATGGCCACATAACGTGGTTTAAGGGGATGTTTATACCCAATTCCATATATAGCCTTTCCATTGGTATCTGGCAGAGGACTCTTGCACAGAAAGAACCCACTTAAATTTCCATTGACTATGTTTATAGTTACTGGGCTGATACCATATCACATGGGTCCCCAACCATGACCCTCCAGGCCGATCCGTACGCTACCCTTCCCCCCAATCGTAATGCCGTCTTTTATTCTCCCTTAATCTTTGGGACTACTGCCATATCACTTCCCTTGAAAAGAGGATTATTAACAATGATTCTGTGATTTTCAATTTGATCTTAGATCTTCGAGAATATATCGAGGTCCATGTAGTTGTGACATGAAATTCATTGGGATTTAAGGGCCTTCTTTTAAACCCAATCCTCGCTAATGAAGAGGGGCATGGGGGAAAGTTTGCCTTGACGGAGACGGTGCGGCCTATGGCTCTTATTTTGAATCAAATTTATCAAGGTAACTCTTACGTGCACACGGGACCTCGGTACCTTGTCCCAACAAAACGAATAAACGCTGTTATTTGTCAGGTCTGACATCGGGTAACCATGCCGGAAAAGTCCGAGGAACTTTCGCAGTCAATATCGAGATCGAATTTTGGACGTCCGGTAACTTACGCACTAAGCCAGCGCCTTATTTGCTGAGCCACCTGATTCCCGCATGTAATTGTAATCTTTTTAGACACAACATACGCTGGTAAATAACAATACCTGACTAGCCGAGTGATACCACGTGTATGGTAATCTACCGAACTGTGCCTGGTGAGAGCCAGTAACAACTTTTAAAAGAGCATCCCCTGTTGCTTGTCCCGGATAAAATGCAGCTAAAATTGCAGATATTCGAGGATTGCTGTCAAAATGTTGAATATCAACAGGACCAGCATTAAACATGATTAAAACTATCTTAGCAGTTCCACCTGAAATTGGATCATTTGATGAGGTTAGAGGCGACGATATGCTAAATACATGCTTTCTTGAACTTAGAAGCGACCAGGTCTTACAGCCCAGGAAATGTAATTTTAAGGCAATTATGAATTTTTGTCGAATTTCAACTGCCAAGGGTTATTTTACATGCACACCGACATGTAGACGGGACATCGGTTCTTCATCCAATCCGAACGAATAGATGAAGTTCCTTGCCAGACCGTCCGTCCATCACCACTGACAACGAGGAAACCACGCTAAAAATATCCCGAGCTGAGCCACCGCGGCCCGCAAAAGAAAAAGATTGTATAATTGTGTATTCAACAATGACATAATAACACAGCTAAAAGATCGGGATATTAAGACACTTATTAATAACTTACTGGATTTTATAACATCGTCTAGTAGTTGACTCTGGTGTCCTGGTAAATTCAAATCAGATCTATCATGTCCTTCCCGTTCGATATCAGTTCCTGTAAATACACTTAGGTTTTGATATGCTACGACTAAAGGTGTATTTAGTATTCTTGTGATTTTCTTAAACTTAAAAGTCGTATGCCGGGGCTGGCCCCTCTCTCTCTCTCTCTCTCTCTCTCTCACACGCACACACACACACACACTTTATTTGTTTATCTGTTTTTGAAATGTAATCCTCAAACGGCAGGACCATTGTATAACATTATCGATAATGTGTTCTTTTGTTTGAATCTAACCGGACGATCAACCTTAAGACCAAATCTGATATTGGCCAATGGGTTAGTGAGGACCTAGGAAAACCAATCAGTCTGAAAACCCAGTCGCAGTGATTTTGGAGGATCTTCATCGCCATGAAGACACGGGACTGATACGATCCCAACCAAAAAGTTTATCAGTTTTATCTGCGATCGTCGGCTACAAGAGCTAGCATTTTTATTGGTTTCCGATGGTTTTGTCATAGCGCATGGCAACATAAGCACAGCTTTACAAAAATCAAGTTAACCTATTACATTCCTCGCATAGTATGACGCCAGGAAAGTAAAGAGTTTTATGCGTACCTAATCCAAGACAAACAAAAACTAATTGAGCTCCATGGACCGATGTGGTGATTGCCTTAGAATCATACGTGTTACATCGACTATCTTTACATCCTGATACAGAATGAACTTGGTGACCAAGTGTCTTTAAGGTAGCGTCAGGGGTGACAACAAAGTGGGGATCAGTTTTGGCTGTATAGTCTCCGTTTAATATGTTTTTATTATTGCTGAACGGGCCGACAATCTAAAACAACAAAATGAATAATAATTAAACATTTATCGATTCAAACACGTACTTTACTTAATTAGTATTGTCATAATAAACAGTTGTAATTCTAATAGCTTTTCTTTAATACGCTATATTGAAATGGGATTTTATGTTCTACTTTTAAGCTCGATCTGAAGATGGGTATAGATACAGTGTAGTGTACTACGGGGTAAATTTTGTCCAGACAACGGCTCTACAACCTACTCTTATTTCGAATTACAAAAGTCAAGAGTTCTTTTACGTACACCCCAATGAATATAAGAGATCGTGGTTTTCGTCATGTCCGAAAGATAACTCAGTAAGATAAATGTAAGATATTTACAGCTATAGTGTTGTACTTGGTGTGTGTTAGGGGCAGCAAACCATCATTCTTCAATAACACAATTGACTTCATAGCCGCCTCTAACGCCAATTCCCTATGAGCGTCATCTAAAACAACGGATCCAACAGAGGAGTATGGATTCATCTTGGATGGATCAAATTCTCCTAATCTCATTCTGGTATAGAAAAGAGGCTTTACTCTTTCTCTAAGGGTCGCTTCAGTTATCTTTCCTTGCTTGGTGGCATTGACTGGAATATTACAAAATCAAAATGTAGTTAATACAAACGACTTGTACAGTTTAGATTGATAAAACTTAATGTTGATTCCCCGCTTTGATTGGATGCCCCCATGCCTGATTTCTCTACGATATTTGCGGCCTGGGTCCATCGCCCACTCCACTGACTGGACGAATCCCGTATGTTTCATAATTATCTAATATCTCTTCTACGTTTGATGGGCATTCAACAGACAAAGTAGACCCGTCGATGTGTTTCTTCCCAAATGCCTGTTTTCATTAGCCTAAAAGTAGGACGTTCAACATTATTTCATTTCTTTTTCTTCCGAAATTGAATAATTTCTATAAACTCACGAATTGACTCGAACACTGTTGTTTTTCTTGACCCACTTCTCAATTCCAGATTACATCCAGCATTAATAGCGGCGGCAGCAGCTTCAACATAATTTTTACTATAATGGTGATGTTCTACTATGTTTTCTAAGGCATTCATATCACTGACAACATAACCTTTAAATCCCCATTCTTTACGTAATATATCTGTTAACAATTGTTTGTTAGCACAAGATGGGATTCCATTTATTCTGCAGATAAAAATACAAAAAAAACTGTTTGAAAACACATTAGGACCAACTGCGTGAAATTGCATTAGGACCAACAGTTTCGAAAATCACCGAAACGTGCTCGTGTAATATCAAAAAATACCCACCTGATTCGACAAAATCATTGAATGGAGCTAAATCTTCTTTGTTAAAATGTTTTAGATTTGGGTAAAAATGTTCGTTTGATTTGGGTTAAAATGTTTTGGGTTTTTTAATTGGATTAAAATGTGTTAATTTGGTAAGGACAATTGTAATTATATTATTCTCTGTTTCTCGCTGTCCTTCCTAATTAAGGTTTCAATTTTGGCTTAAATTTTGTTGACATTGGCTTTATTTTTATGAACGTAGGACATAAAATCAAGATGAACATTCAGACCACAAAACAAATCAACATATAAATTCCAGTGAAAAGTTCATTTTAGATGAGGGGGTGCCATATAAAGTCCATATCTTTGTTTGCTTATATCCGTTTATATCTGTTTGAAATTATATATATTCGGTTACTTGGGACTAGTGAAAAGCGAGCTAAGGTGAGAAACTAAAGAGAGTAGATGTCGGACAATCCCCAATTCTAGGAATTCACAGGAAAGCAATTCTGGTCAGATATATTTTCTGCTAAGCATAAAACTGGTCCCCGTACAAACTATTCGGTCGGATTCTTCATACATATCTTGCTAAATCTTTTATTCTAGAAAAGGGTCGTATTACCTGTTATAACTGCACATTATATTGTAAGTCCCTGCTTCAACACAATATCTAAACGCTGGTAGGAAAGTCGTTCTCCAATCTCTCATAGAAACCTTCAAATATATATATAAATAATTATAATAACGAGCGCGGGGAATTACACCATCGTGTTATATTATGTAATTAGGAAATAAACTATTCTTTGTCCTCGAATTGTATGCAACCCTCATGCAGTCAAATAACAAATCAGAAAACGGATTCAAACTAGTTCACATCCTAATGTTCATGGACACTGGGTAAGGCGCTGGTTCGATAATCGGCATTTCCCGGGTTCGATCACGGTGTTGACAAATAGACCCCTCGGTATTTCCGGTTTGATGTCCCCTTGCCATGCAGGGTTTGAAGGGGAACGGTTTCTAGTCAAAAACCTGAACGAAAATCCGAAGCCCCGTGCAGGTAAAAGAACGCTTGACAGTTGGAATTAGAAATGAGAATAGGCCTTGGCACCAGTTAAGGGCAAAATGTCTACGTATGAAGATGCCCGTCTTCATTTGCCTGGTTTGCATGGAGAATAGGACGTTAAACCCTGTCGAGGATACTAAGTAAATCTAATCCGTACTTATACTTACATGAGCGTCAAATGCGTTTCTATTTTCTGGAATATTTTCGGGGCCACCATGAACATTAAAATGTTTGCATCCTGCTGTAGCCCGCATATAGCGCTTGTCATCCCCGTGTATTCCTTTCACATAAGCTGTAGCTAACATGCCATTTAGATAAGGATCTTCACCATATGTTTCCTAAAAACCATTTATTTCAATATATAACAAATCATATTGTGTACCTTTTGAAAATCTGTTCTGTTTTATTATCTTTTAGGGTCGGCTATATGTGATAATTATATTCTCTAAAAAAAATTATGGTCAAAATATTTGTATTCATATGAAGTTGTACGCAGGGCCCTGGGACTAGTTGGTTTCCTTGGGCCGCCATTGCGGTGATGAATACATGTACGTGACATGATGAGAAAACGAAGATAGCTTGATTCACCTATCCCACACCTAATGCTTAGATCATACTTCTCCTTGGACTTATGAGGCCATTATATTTTCATTGTTGAATACAAAGACAACCAAAACGACAGGCCCCTAAAACCTCTAGGCCCATGGAACACTTCGGACGACCCGAGGCCCAGCCCGCCCCTGGTATTACGTAATAATTTACCTGATTTCTACCCCATCTAGGATCCCGCATAATGTTGATAACCGGTGCAAAGCAACTTAAACCGCTACGACCAGAATTACTGATGTGGTAGGCTCGGACCTCTTCTCCTGTTGCCCCGGACATTCTTCGGACAATATCATAACTGAAAGATCGGATAGATGGAAATGATTTTGATGGCGACTTTGAGGTTTTGGACGTACGGACAAGCGCATAGAGAATTTTCAAAATCAAACTCATCAACAAGGAAAAGAAATGGGGTTTGACGTCCTACTTTTCTGCTCCAACCGGGAGAATAATGCCGCGCAGACGCCTAGCTGTGTATTATGAGGAACGTTTTGCCCGAACAGCCATGCTAAGCCCTATTCTTATTTCAATTCCAACCGACAAGGTATCTATTACGTGCACACGGAAGCTCGGATTTGTTCCATCCTGAACGACTGAACACTGTTTCTTGCCAGGCCCCGGGCCTGCACCAGTGACAAGGGAAAACCACGCTATAAAGCCCAAGACATGTACCGGTTAACTACGGAATAAAACACGAGATCTACCGATTACCGGGGTACTTTCTCGCCCAACACCGGAGTCGTGAGTTAGCCAGCGTCCTATTTACTAAGCAACCGTGGCCCCAACAAGAAACACAAACCTATTTAAACAGTTGTCAGAATATGATATAGAAAGAAAAATGCTAAAAGGCTTAAAGAACTAGAAAATTTGTCTGTACCTCCAGGTCGCTGCTAAACCAATAGATTGGGGAAAAGACGTGGCATTTTGACGAACAGCGCCATGCAAACACTCCGTGTCCCATTGATACGTTCCTATCCCCAGGCGCTGAATAGCAGGAGCTGGTCCATTAGTACCAACGCCTCCCTTGGTTATCTGTTCAACTACTTCGTTAAGAGTCAGTCGTCTTACCAAATCCTCTACACGAGCATCCCAGTCCAAAGACACGTTTCTAAAGGTAAAGGCCTGAAAAGACAAATCCACCAGGAGCAGGAAAGAAAAGAACTTTACTAAGAGCATTTTGTTACTTCAAATATCTGTCTATTCAAGGTTTCTTAAGTATAGGCCTGTTGTGGAGATAAACAGATGTTAATTTTGAACATTATCAGTTAATCATTCTCAAGGCTACCTAGATATAAAATAAAACCAAGTACGAACAATCCAAACCATTAGATATAAAATAAAACCAAGTACGAACAATCCAAACCATTAAAAAAAACGGTATAGGCAAAATAGTGTAATAAGGCAAAATAGTGTAATCAGCATATAGGACTGTTCACCGTGTACAAAATACACGACAAACAGTGGTAACAGGTGTCCGGAAGAGTAAGCTTACCCTGCCTGGCGCCACACCCGCCATAGCTGCATCCAAACTATTAGGCGAAATCTCGGTAAAATAGCGTGATTGGCCAATGGACTATCGGTATGCAAAATGCACGTGATGAACAGTGTTAACGATGTAGTAGACAGACATTAACAGGGAGATTGTATACGCGTCAATTAAATATATCTAGAATAATAGCCGAGAGAGACATGTTATATTTACCAATCAAGTTATATTTACCAATTGAGACACAAACACTCCATAAGCTGGTGATATTGGAATGTTACTACTAATAAATGGAAAGTGATGCAATGTGATTAAAGATTTGAAACATTTGATTTGCAGGTGAATTTAAACTATGGATCCCGTTGAAGTCTACAGGAGTCCCTTATGGACGTTATATGGAACTGTTACAATCTCCGATTTTTTTATTGTAGTTTACAGATTAAAGATCCACCTAATATATACATACCCAAAATTATTAGCACAACTATAAAGCTGCACGACCTTGTTTTACGGTAAACGATGAAAAGATAAAAGGTATGCCGACATACCTGATTTCAACACTGGTTTAATAACATTTTAACATTTTAAAGCGCTTTTCGTCCGTCTTGGAACTATTTATAAATAATTTCATTGCATGGTATATCTGTCTTTATTTTATGATCAGTAGTGGAATACCGCGTTTTATCAGTGAAATAAAAGTGTTATTCCACTGGATAGTTGTTTTTACCTAAAATGATTGTAAAATTATAAAATAAATAGCACATTTGTCGTTTTGTCGTGAATAACATATTTTATTTCATCTCTAAGCAAGAAAACGTTTATATTTTCACTCATGCTACGCATTCGTGAAAATATAAGTTTTCTTGCTTCTCGATGAAATAAAATATCATGAGTGAAAATATAAACGTTTTCTTGCTTAGAGATGAAATAAAATATGTTATTCACTCTAAAACGACAAATATCCTCTATATACTATATATAGTAATATAGTAATATTGTGGTTTTAATTGGCTATAGTTACCATTGTCTATGGTTACATAGTACATAGGAACTAACAGAAAATATGTGCACACGTGTGTTAATCTGCAATCTGATTAAAATACAGATCTACATTTCGTTTCGTTTTTTATACTTTCGATGGCCTCTACTACGTGAAGATCTGACCAGTTCTTGTGGAAGGTCGCGTCAGTGGTTATACGAGCGGCTTTTGAACCTATGACGTTTATTGTGAGTTACCCACAGTTCCGTGCACCTCACGCCAAACATTCGCCGTAACAGACCGTTTCATTGGCTAATCCATCACATCATCCAGAACGTGGGTTATAAAACAACTCTTCCAGATCCGTGTGTAGTAAAGACAAGTAAAACGAAATTTTGAACTATAAAAAACGAAACGAAATAGGACCTGTGTTTTAATCAGACTGTGTATGTTAAATGTATATCGCCCGTCATTAAGTGTTTGAACATATAATATGTAAATATTTTTAGAAACCTATTCATTGTTTTGCTAATCACTTAGTCTACATTGTCCTTATCAGGCTGGATGTTGCCAAAACATGGAGTGTGTTTAAATGGCGATTTATGTTGAGCGTCAACGCGACCACTGACAAGTTGACAACAATAAACGTCGCAGATGAAACTGGCACACTGACATATGACCATGTATGCCCTTTGACCGTGAGCTCTGATTAGCTAATGTTCCCAAAAATTGACTCTGTCGGCGGCGTTCGCGGTAAGTATTAATGCATTTTTTTAAAGTCATATGTTTAAACCATGATAAAATAAAGTCTTAAAATACATGGCATCTACACACTCAGTCCTACCTTGTCAAAGAATAATCTTGTGTATAATTCACTTGTGCCAGTTGAGAAATTAGCAAGTATATCATTTTCATTTTAAATCCAAAGTTGACTTTTACGTGTGCATGTTTGAAAAGTCTCGCTCAACCAGGCATCATTATCCTTATCTGTTTAACCACGGACCTTGACTATCGTGTCAACTCTGGCTTTAGTGTGTAGACTTAGTTATCCAACGAAAAGAAATGATCCGAATTCCAAATACCGTGAGCGAGTTGATATTATTTCCAATTTTTACGTGAATGTTTTTTTTAATTGCTAAAATGATTCCTGTGATTGTATAGTAGTGATCTGACAACCGATTAAGTAATAGATATAGAAATAATTATGATTTGACTTTCTTAGAAAATATGCAATTTTCGATTTAACAACCCTTAAGTCTGGTATGTGGAAAACATAAACTCCTGTTGTTTATATGAATGTGATACTTGGAACATATAAAATTGAAATCCACGACAATATAAAACGGAATGCTTGTGGCCAACAATTCACCTGTTACGCACAACTGCACAGGCATAACAAAGAATGTTTTTGGCTAACGCTGTGTTGTACCTGTATGCAATCACGTGATCGGGTCTTTAGCAGCATCGTATTTTCCGTATTCAGTGTTTCAGCAGGATGAAGTTTGATAACGTATTAGAATATTTGGGAGAATTTGGATTATATCAGAAAAGAATATATTTTTTGGTGTGTTTACCAGCTTTAGCCAATGGATTATCTATCATATTGACCGTTTTTATACTGGCCATACCCGAGCATAGGTAAGGTAAATTTAGCATATTGACTGTTTTTTACTGGCTAACGCGAACAGCAGTACGTTCAGGTGGGTGGTACCATGCCAATTATGGGTTGGTAATTTATTTTAAAAGAAAAACTCAAAAAAAAAAAAAAATCTGAAGGTGAGAAGAATTTAATTGAAATAAGGTTGTTGTGTGCTATTTTAATATTAAAAAATATTAACGGACGGAGTAAATCGTGTATTGAAATTTCCGGTCTGTTGGTTGTTTAGAAGTGTATACTCAGATTACTAAATAGAGGTATTGTCGATTATTATTACACATTTCCACGCACAATTGACACATAGAATATTTTTATTCAGAGTTATAGGGATTGGAGAACAGGCCTAACCTATATTAAACCCCATATATTGTGCTCATGTTCGCTTTACAAAGACATACGATAGAGCAAGACAATATTACATTTTATAATAAACCGAAAAAAACATATAGGATGAAATATATAAATAAAAATTGTTATTCGGATAAAATTAAATAATTAAAATAATTCTAGATGTAAATTTACGGTGCGGGTGGGGGCGTGTGCAGTGATGGATCACGAGGTCCCCGGGCCCCGACGCAGCGTAGCTACAGAGTTCCATTGACAAGATCACACCCTTGGTTGACAACTTGACATATTGCCAGTGTTGTGGGCATTTCTCATGAGAGGATTGAGCACATTATCGCCAACGAGATAGGAATGACAAACGTTTTTGCCAAAGTTTTGGACTGCGGATCAGAAACGTGTTAAATCTGAGCCGTTTTGAAGCAGATCCTGACAATGTTTTGGCCAGATTTCTAACAATGGATGAGACCTGGATGCATCACTTTCAACCAGAATCCAAAATTCGATTCCTTTTGCTGGAAAGGTGATGACTTAGTCTTTTGGAATTCCTTGGGTATTCTGCTGATTAACTATCTTTATAGCCCCCTGTTCCCCAAAGACAATGTTCCTGTTCATAGATCGGTGATTGCTATGTCAGCGATCCATGATTGTGGCTTTGAACTCATCCACTACGTAGAATATTAAATGGAAACCACCGACTTTGTACAGGTCTTTCAAAGATAGTCTTAGAACTTTTCGGCTAGCCCTCGTATATTATATGTTAATAGATTGCCATGTTTGACTGTATTTATATTATACATTATCGGTATCTTTAGGAGAAGCTTCCGAAAAAAGACTTTTATTATATTATAAGCAAACTTTAGATGAAAAATGTTACATCCTCACCCCCATTGTTATTACCACTCGCCATACACAACTGAACTTTATACCCTAGACAAAAAGAATGAAACCAGTGAGGTGTGTTACTCTATATAGGTGCTCTACAAAATTTCTCACTTTGTGTGCAGACGACATGATATTGTTGTCAAGTTCTTCATTATCGACGAGGTGGGGGATGGCCGAATGATTAGCACGTGTGCGTTGCACCATAAGGTCTGTCATTGAGTCAACTGGCGTAGTTTCGATTCTCCAGTTATAAGTGACAAGGAATAGGGTCGCCTGTCCAACCTCGTGGGTTTTCTCTGGGTCCTCCGGTTTCCTCCCAATGCTAAAGACCCCTACGCGCAAGCAAATTAAATTGAACCATATGTCAGTCTCGAAATGAACTTTACTAAGAGCATTTTGTTACTTCAAAGATCTGTTTATTCAAGGTTCCTTAAGTATAGGCCTGTTGTGGAGATAAACAGATGTTAATTTTAAACATTATCAGTTAATCATTCTCAAGGCTACCTAGATATTATGCAATGTGATTAAAGATTTGAAACATTTGATTTGCAGGTGAATTTAAAATATGGATCCCGTTGAAGTCTACAGGAGTCCCTTATGGGCGTTATATGGAACTGTTACAATCTCCGATTTTTTATTGTAGTTTACAGATTAAAGATCCACCTAATATATACATACCCAATATTATTAGCACAACTATAAAGCTGCACGACCTTGTTTTACGGTAAACGATGAAAAGATAACAGGTATGCCGACATACCTGATTTCAACACTGGTTTAATA